ACCAGCTGCCTAGTACTTGGCTGTGAAAAGCTACCAATTCAAGCACTTAACCATATTACAGGGTCTATGTTAAGTACTTCATCTACATTAGCCCGTTTAATCCATGGAACATCGTGATGAGCCACCAGGACTGCTATCTCCAGCCGTCTTGAGCTACAAGAGGTTAAGTGTCTTGCTCAAAATCACGCAGCCTCCGTCTCCAGGCCAAGTTTTCAACTTGGCCCATCTGTGCTTTTATGCAACAAATTTACTCGTCAAAGATCATAGAAAATGGGCTGAACACTGTGTGTTTCCCCTCACCCACCATCCTTGTTAAACTCATACTTGGGTGCCACAATCGCACTAGTTGGGTGTCTAGAGAGAATTTCCAGAAGGAAAAGGTGGAATGCAGGCATCTCCTTGAGTTATGAAGCCACGGTGCTGAGAGACCAGGATGGCTAGGATTCACAGGACAGGATATTGGAGAGGAGAGAGCATTGCAGACAGCTTACTCTAAAGGTCTGCACGGGGATCCCTTGAGTCCTCAGCTAAGTTTTGAGAAACACATCATATATATAAAGAGCTTCCCGAAGCTGGGGAAATACCACCCAAAAAGGCAGACAAAATACTCCTCGGAGTTCACACAAGGCCAGGAATAGCTCAGGTTCCCACTGAGCAGAGTGGAAAATTTCTTAACTCAGAGGCATATGGCAGGTACTCGGGTGGGAACCAATTACCTCTAGACCAAAGGCTGCTCTGCTCCTGCCCACAAAGCAGGACATACAGGAACATGGGAAGTCCCGCACACGGGCGTGTGCTTTGTGCAGTAGTGATTGTGGTAGTGAGACAAGAGGGCAGGACAGGATGAGGTCTACAGTGGAAGAATCATTTCTCCCCTAATCCCAAGGACCTGTTCCCTCCAGGGATCCTTGGCTGGTAGCCAAGGGAACCACAAAAGACAACAGATGCCCAGGTCCCCAGACGGGCCTGAGCATGGCTCTGAGCTATTGTAGTAATTCTGTCATCTGCAGCTCGGAGAAAAGCAAGAGAGCTTTGAAGGCTTTTCTTGTGCAAAAAAAGCAACCAGACATGTGGGCGCAGGCCCTTAGCAGGTGACTTAATGAGGCTGTTTGTGTTCTTTCGGGAATGGGGGGGGGGGGGGGGGGACACGCTCCTGAGGATTCTCCTACCCCTGCTCTTTGTTTCTAGATAATGAAGGCTGTCAGCAGAGCTTCCTACAGCTCTAGGTGCTGGCCTGCTCCCTGGGGACTAAGGGGAGGCCTTGAGGACTGTTTTCAGTTGACACACAACGCCTGGGACATACATACTCCTCTTGGCACAGAGGCCTGCTCAGATAAGATCATGGAAAATGGACAATCTTAAACTGACAGCAAATAAAAAGCTGGAGGGAACTTTAAGGCAATGCAGCCCAAACCGGTTTGTTTGTTTGTTTTCCAAAACCGGATTTTTAAAGTTGGGGCAACCAAGGCTCAGAGAGATCATTAGCAGTTGACCTGGAGCTAGACTCAAGAATTCTGATAGCAAGTAACAACTGGGAGCTGGCTCTGGAGTACACCATTGACTAGCGATGTAGCCATGACAAGTCACATAATTACTTGGTGTAAAATAATTTTATTCCTTACCTCACATCATACTCAAAAACTACTTCAAAGTGGATCAAAAACCTAAATATAAGAGCTAACACTATAAAACTCTTAAAAGAAACTATATATATATCTTCATGACCTTAAGTTAGGTAAGTTAGACTCCACAAACATTTAAAATGTATATGATTCCAAAGGCACCAATGAGAAAGTGAAAAGACAACCCAAGGAATGGGAGAAAATATTTGTAAACTGTATATCTGATAAGGAACGTCTACAAAGAACTCTTAACAACCCAATAAAAAGACAAATAATCCAATTTAAAAGTGTGCAAAGGATTTGAATAAATATTTCTCCAAAGAAATAGATAAATGGTCAACAATCACATGAAAAGATGTTCAGCATGAATAGTCATGAAGGAAATGCAACTCAAAACAACGATGAGATACCACTTCGCACACACAGGATGGCCACAATAAATAAGACAGACAATAAAGAGTGTTGGTGAGGAGCCAGTTGGTTGAGCATCGTCCCCTGCATGGATGGGGGTGGAGGGGTTGCGGTGGGGGCGGGGGGAGGTGGGGAGGACTGGTCAGGGTATATGCCCAGGTTGTGGGTTCAATCCCTAGTCAGGGTATGTACAGGAGGCAACCAATCAATGTTTACTTTTCTCTCTCCCTCTCCCTTCCTCTCTAAAATCAATAAAAACATATCTTTTTTGCCTGGCTGGCGTGGCTCAGTGGTTGAGCGTCGACCTATGAACCAGGAGGTTGCGGTTGGATTCCCGGTCAGGGCACATGCCCAGGTTGCCGGCTCTATCGCCAGTGTGGGCTGTGCAGGAGGTGGCCGATCAATGGGAATAACCAGGAGACATCCGTAATTCAAAAGTCACTTCCGCCGAAACCAGTTTGGCTCAGTGGATAGAGCGTCGGCCTGCGGATTGAAAGGTCCCGGGTTCGATTCCGGTCAAGGGCATGTACCTGGGTTGCGGGCACATCCCCAGTGGGAGATGTGCAGGAGGCAGCTGGTCGATGTTTCTCTCTCATCGATGTTTCTAACTCTCTATCTCTCTCCCTTCCTCTCTGTAAAAAATCAATAAAATATATTTTTTAAAAAAAAGATGCAACTCTATTATATGACCTATATATTAAAAAAAAAAAAAAAGTCACTTCCTTTGGCAGATCCCTTGCTAAGAGTAAGTGCAAATGAGGCTATGATCAGGAGCCTGTTCTAAACTCTTGAAAATATTGCTGTCAACTGTAATTGAAAAATTTAAAAAAAATGATTTTAAAAATACGTTTAAAAAAAGAAGAAGAAAATATTGCAGAATCTGCTGGTGAAGCAATAGCTGCCCCACAAAATCCCTAGACTCTGTGGCCAAAGTTGTTCTCGCTACTAGGACAGCCCCTGCGTATCTGTTAGCGGAGCAATGGCCAACATCACTTGCGGCCCTTGGACGGACGCTTCCTGGGGAGGTTGAGACTGAACTACAGAAGATCACTGCATAAGCACGGTGGTGTTAAAACAGTGACTCCTCCAATGGAGTCTGTGACTTATTTAATTCCGGTGGCTTTGGGTCTCGAGAACCATAGCTCCAAAGTGCATTCCAGACACGGACAATGCATTAGCCGCTTGTCATAATCATACTAGTTCCTTGGTGTGCTGTATTCTCTCAAGTTTTAAATATACATGTGTAGCCACTAACCACCAAGCAAGTGATCTCCCTAAGACTAGAACATCAGAAAAGGATCAAAGAGAATGACTTGGAGAATGTGAGCCCCATGTTGTGACCTGTAAATGCCACACCTGTACATACCAGACTTAGAGAATTCCAGAGCATCTCCTGGATGTAGTGCTAAAGGCTTCCATTTTTTTTTTTTTATCACATCTCTCAGGCCAAGAGTCTGATAAAAAGGGTGGAATTGTTAAAAATAAGACCACAGGCCCAAACTAGAATCACTTATGCCGCGCCTCACATCACCAAATCCAGGCTTAATGAGAGTTTGGATTTTCCCCGAAATGGAATCTTAAACTCTTAAGCCTGTCAGTCGAGTTGCATGACCCGCACTGGTTATGTAATCTGCCTGGTAGACCCCTGCCAAAGGAAGCTAACTTTGTAATAACCAGATGGCGTTTTTGCCTCATCTAACTTCCTTCTTCCCGCTCTCTTCTGCCTAAAAAAGTCTTGCGTTTTGTACAGCTCCTGTGAACTCCTTTACATCTGCCAGCCTGGATGCTGTCTGATGCATAAATTGTTGTGTAAAGCCAATAAGATCTTTAAAGTTTACTCAGTTTTTAACAACATAAAGAATCAAATAAACTGATTTCTCCCTTTGCTTTAGAGTCAACATGACTTGGCACTATTACCTAATCCTGCCTTTGTAACATTCGTATATTTTGTTCAGCACTACTTTTTCCAGCAAATTGGTTTTGAAAAACAATACATTAAAGCAGCGGTTCTCAACCTGTGGGTCGCGATCCCTTTGGGGGTCGAACGACCCTTTTACAGGGGTCGCCTAAGACCATCGGAAAACATATATAATTACATATTGTTTTTGTGATTAATCACTATGCTTTAATTATGTTCAATTTATAACAATGAAAATACAGCCTGCGTATCAGATATTTACATTACGATTTATAACAGTAGCAAAATTACAGTTATGAAGTAGCAACGAAAATAATTTTATGGTTGGGGGTCACCACAACATGAGGAACTGTATTAAAGGGTCGCGGCATTAGGAAGGTTGAGAACCACTGCATTAAAGGATTCTTTATTCTGACTCCTGAGTTTTCTGACACTCCCTTAACTTTTGCCCCCAGGTACCTCTCCCTAAGGAACCTACGCACTCCCTACCTCTGTCCCCGCTGAAATTTCTTATTTATCATTAGTAATTTTTCAGACGGCTACACCTTGAAGTTCTATTTCTTTTTCCTTCACCTTTTGACAGTATATTTCCTCTCTGTTCTGGAGGATGAAGACTACTATAATTTGAATTTTGCAGATACAACTTTTTACTCTGTTCTGTTCAGTTACACAAAAGCCACTAAACTTGACTGTTGTGCGAACCTTTCAATGCTTCACTGTGGCTGTTCTCACCCCCGCCAACCTTGGACTAACTCGTGGCGGCGGGGGGGGGGGGGGGGGGGGGCATTAGTTCCCCGATTATGAGGGGCAGGGACTGGCGCGGGCACACACAGCTCCAAGTGCAGCATCCGGACCTCGCAAAGGAAGAAAACGCTTTCTCCGCAGCAAGCATCCCGGGCTGTCTCAGATTTGTACGCCTTTGCCCTCAATACCCAAACCCCAAGTCACAGTGAGTCAGCGAATCTAAAACCAAACGGCCGCGGTCGCGCGCACCTCCCTTTTGACGCCCCATCCCAAGCGCGGGGCAGGTTCCCTCGGCGCAGAGAGAAGGCCAAAGGGCGCGCCCACCGAGCCCCGACGCCACCAGGAACTGCCTCCTTGGGTCCCAAGGCGGTTGCAGGGCTGTGGCCAGATGGGCACACCTCCCACTCCCTCCCAGGAGACCCCTCTCACCCCCCACCCCCAGGGCACCCTTCTTCCAGGTCCCGAGGTCCCCCGTCCAGTACCCAGCCTCCCCTTTCCTTCCTGGAACCGCAGCCTCCGCGAGCTCCGCCCTGCATCCCAGGGCCCCGGTGGCCGGCTCCGCCTTTGCTGGGTACTTGGCTCGTGTGGCCGGGGTGGGCCAGGCCAGATATAAAGCAGCCTCGGCTCGGCTGGCAGCACCCACAAGCCTCCTAAGACCTTGCCCCAGCCACCAGCCCCGCCACTCAGCGCACCGCCGGAGCCATGACGGGTGAGTGCCCCGCGGCGCACGCAGCGCCCGCCCCGTTCCTCGGCTGGAGGCTGGAGGGGCTCGGCCCTGAGTTCTCTTTCTGGGCTCAAAACTGGAGAAGTGAAGGCCTTAGGGTCCTGGATGAGCCCTGACCAGCGTCGGGGGCGAGGGGAACTCCTATTTCTATCCCACCCACCTCCGAAATCGGGTGGGCGTTTAGGGAAGACGACCTCCCTACGGGGTCTGCGAATGAACCAGGGCAGGGAGATGCAGCACCAAGGTGTCCTCAGCGGTGTTAGATGTGGTCGCTCCTGCAGCAGAATAGCCTGCAGACGAGCAGAAATGGATCTGAAACTACAGGCGTTGAAAATCTAATTTGTCCCTCAAGACTCAGTTCCAACAGCAGCCCCTTCCGAAGCCTTTCCTACTCGGCCAGCCCTAAAGCGGACGGCTTCCCAGAACTTTGTCCCTTGCTTTTCCTATCAGGCAAATTGGCTCTTTGTCTATGTGTTTTATCACCTCTCTCTGGGTGAATTCTTTTTTTTTTTTTTTTACTTTATTTTAGAGAGAGGGAGAGAGAGAGAACATCGATCTGTTGTTCCACTTATTTATGCACTCACTGGTTGATTCTTGTATGTGCCCTGACCAGGGTCCAAGTTTGGCATATGGGGATGACACTCTAACTAAATGAGCTACCCAATCAGGGCAGTTGTATTTCTTACAACTATATCCTTCCTGTTTGTGTCTTTTGTTTGTTTTATGGTAATAGGCATGCCTATAGCTAAATCAAGGCATAGATCTCCTGACTTTCTCATTTTCTGGGAAACAAGTTCATGTTTTACTACTTAGGAAATGCTAGTTAATATTGATAAGAAGTAAATAATGTGTATATTGATAACAAGTAAGCCAAGGGAATAAAAACTAGCAAAGCAGCGTTCAGCACACACTGATGTTACTAACGCAAAGGTAGATCGCAAAGAAAAGGCGAGTCAGCGCTTAAAGTACTCACCTTTCTCCAGGAGTGCTCAGTCCACGAGTTGGTAAGGAAGGCGGTGGAAATTTGTGGAGGCAGCTTCAGAAATTTCTTTCCATTTCCCCAGGTCTTCCAAAGCAGGTAAATCACTTTCATAGCATTTAAATCCCCATCAAACTGATATCCCACCAAATCAGAGTTTATAGAGTCAGAAATGCCAGGACCAAGCTTGGAGACCCTCTTTTTTGGCGTTCAGAGGCCTGAAGCGCACACCTGGCTGAATTTAACCTCATAGGCGCTGCCTATGCCAGGTGTGGTTCATGATGAAAGCAGGTAGAGAGCTGAAGGCTTAAATGTGCTTTTTCTAGTTCATTTTCTTCAAACAAGACAAAAACAGTTGCAGGTGATTTCTCTCTGAGCTCCACCCACGGTTGCCCCTTTTAAGTATTAGCAAGATATGAGACAGTGGCACCAATGATTAGGAGAAACAGAGGTGGTGAGCTTCCTGTCCCGGGCACTCCTCCCCTCTCCCTCCACATTGTAGCATGGATTTATTTATGTCTCTACACTTCTAAAGTATTCCAGCTTCCCCACGTACTATGTAAATTTGGGCAATAATTTGCTTTACTTTTCTGTATGCATCAGTTTTCTCATCCATAATATGGGGATACTAATTGTATCTTCCTCTGAGGGTTACCGTGACAATTGAAAAAAAGAGTGCAAAGCACTTAGAGCAGTGCCCAGCACAAAATAAGCAGCCGTTACCTGCTGTTATTGCAAAAGTAAAGCATGCTTATTCTAACAACTTCACTAGTACACACGTGGCCAAGAAAAAGTTCCTCTTTCCCCTCAACCCCTTTGTCATCTCTTACTTATCTAAGAAAACTATTAATAGTTTCGTATGATCATTCCATATCTTTTTCCCCTCATACCAATATAGTGCAAATCTACCTGCATGTACAGGGTGTCTCCAAAAATGTATACACACACTTTGAATAACTATAAAGGCAGGGTTTATTAAAATACTAGGGGCCCAGTGCACGAATTCGTGCACCTTGAAAGGAACCGTGGGCTGCGACGCTGAGGTGGGCACAGGGGAGCGTCTCAGCCCATCCTCCTTCCCCCCGCCCGGCCCCTCCCCCTCCTGCCGCAGGCCCCCTACTCCCCAACCCCCCTTACCCCGGCCCCGTCCCCTCTCTGCTGGCAGCCCTGCTCCTGCCGCCGCTCCCATGCACTGCTGGCGCCAGCCCCAATCGCTCTGCAACCTCAGCGGGTGTGAGCTGCATCTGCTGCCCTGATCACCCTTCAGGAGCAGGGGGAGGTGGAGAAGCCCTCGGTGACAATCCAGGCTGCAGCCACCATTTACACCTGCTGACGGCACTGAGTGATCAGGGGACCGGCACTGCTGGCAGCGGGTGCAAGGTCGGCGCTGGCAGTGGGTGTGAGCAGCGGCTCCAGCACCAGCAGCGGGTGTGAGTGGTGGCTCGGGTGCCGATAGCAAATGCAAGTGGGGCCAGCGCCGGCAACAAGTGCGAGCACCCAGCAGGACCACGGCACATGCGGAAGCAAAGAATTTTCAGTAACCACCAGAGGCTCACCCCAATGACAACTATTGGCGCCCTGCCATGTCTGGCGTCCCCGCTCACCTGCTCCACCATCCCGCCGCGGCCCATGCCAGCCATGTTCTGTGCTCTTCCACCTGCTGCCGACACCTGCCATGTTCCGTGCACGCCCCCTGGTGGTCAGCACACGTCATAGTGACCGGTTGTCCGGTTCCATCGTTTGGTCTATTTGCATATTAGGGTTTTATATATATAGATATTTCATTTCCACTTAACAGATGTCAGCTGTTAAAGCATGTTACATTTTTTGGGGACAACCTATATGTAGTTTTGTGGGTTTTTTAAAAATAAAAATGGATTCACATTCACTTCATTTTATCAGTTAATATATCCTGGATATCTTTCTGGGACCCTGTATATATTGTTAACTAATTCTTTTTTATTTTTTTAAAATATATTTTTGATTTCAGAGAGGAAAGGAGAGAGAGAGAGAGAACATCAATGATGAGAATCATTGATTGGCTGCCTCCTGCATACCCCCTACTGGGGATCAAGCCCGAAACCTGGGCATGTGCCCTTGACTGGAATTGAACCTGGGACCCTTCAGTCTGCAGGCTGATGCTCTATCCACTGAGCCAAACCAGCTAGGGCTCATTCTGGTTAACAGCATAATATTCTGTAGTATGTATGTACCATAATCTATTTAAATGCTCCCCCCAAAATAGACAATAGGGTTATTTCTGATTTTTGCCAATGGAAAGAATGGTACAGTACACATCCTTGCTCCTGTGTCCTGATGCTTTCAGTCTGGGGAACAGATTCCTTGAAGTTGGACGACTAGATCAAAGGTTTATGTGCCTTTAAAATTTTAAGAGCTTCAGCCTAATAACTTCCTTAAAGGCTGAGGCCGTTGATATTCCCACTGGCAATGTGCCAGTGTTCCCACAATCTTGATAGCCCTCGATGTTGCTTGTCCTAAGTTGTTTTGCCAATCTGATAGGCTAGTAACTTATTTTTTACCATATGCTTTGGGTGTGTCAAAATAGGCAGAAAAGCATTGATCGTACTGGCTCACGCAGAGAGGACATCCTTCAACTATGCCATGAAGGAAGCTGCTGTAGAGGCTCTGAAGAGGAAAGGATGGGGGGTCACTGTGTCAGACCTGTATGCCATGAACTTCAATCCCGTCATCTCCAGAAAGGACATTACAGGTAGGAGCCGCTCCCCCTTTAGTTAGGTCTTTGTGGAACTTCTCACCTGTGGGTTCTCTGGTCCCACCTTGGCCCCAAGGCCTCACCCCCCCCCCTTTTCCTCTCTGCAGGTAAACTGAAGGACCCTGAGAACTTTAAGTATCCTGCCGAGTCTGTTTTGGCTTATAAAGAAGGCCGTCTGAGCCCAGATATTGTGGCTGAACAAAAGAAGCTGGAAGCTGCAGACCTTGTGATTTTTCAGGTGTGGTAGGACATCAGAAGGGTGTAGGGACACTTGAATTCTTTCTTTTAAATCCTCACCTGAGGATATGTTTTTATAAATTCGAGAGAGAGGAAGGGGGAAGAGGAGGAAGGGAGAAAGAGAAAAATACTGATCAGTTGCCTCCTGTACCCTCCCTGCCCAGGGATTGAACCCGTAACCTGGGTATGTGTCCAGACTGGGAATCAAACCCACAACCCTTCGGGGCACGGGACAAGGCTCCAACCAAAGGAGCCACACTGGCCAGAGTGGGACACTTGAATTCTTATTGTCCTAGACCTGACTTCTAATTAGCCATGTGATCTTAGAAAAGTCACTTACCCCCTTTACTGCATTCTCTGTAAAAAAAAAAAAAAGGTCATTACTTCAAATGTACAGCGTTACACAGATTTATAGATGCTGTGAATCGGGCTGTGTTACTCTGAAAATATGAATGCAACTTTGAAGATGACGCGTCAGTCTTCATCTTTTTTGCAATTAGTGATTTTTAAAATTTTTCAATTCCAGTTGACATTCAATATTATATTAGTTTGAGGTATACAATATAGTAGTTAGACATATAACTTATGAAGTGATTCCCCCCATAAGTTTAGTACCCACCTGGGACCATACTTAGTATTACAAGATTATTAACTATATTTGTTATGTGGTACATCCCCATGACTATTTTGTAACTGCCAATAGGTACTTCTTAATCCCTTCACCTTTTCACCCAGCTCCCTCACCCCCTCCCCTCTGGCAACCATCAGTCTGTTCTCTGTAACTATGAGCCTATTTTATTTTTTCATAAATTTTGTTCTTTAGATTCCACATATAAGTGAAATCACATGGTATTTGTCTTTGTCTGTCTTATTGCACTTAGCATAATACCCTCTAGGTCAATCCATGCTGTTGCAAATGGTAAGATTTCATTCTTCTTTACGGCCGAATAATATTCCATTGTGTATGTGTACCATATCTTCTTTATCCACTTGTCTATTGATGGACACTTAGGTTCCTTTCTTGTCTTGGCTATTGTAAATAATGCTGCAATAAACCAATTAGTGATTCTTCATGGGATCTCTCAGTGAAGTCTGCATTCCCTCTCTCTGTTAGCATCTGGCCAGTTTGTGGAGTGATACCAGCCGATACGTATCGTCCTGCTTACTGTGTTTCAGCAGCAAACCATGGGCTTTCTTCTGGAAGCCACCTCACCATTTAGCAGTCAGTACTGGAAATGTATATGCCTCTTGTAAGCCATATTTTTTTGAAAATACCAGATTGTACTCAATGACTTTGTTTCTATCAATTCCAACTAGCTTTTTGATCTTGAACATGTAATGTACATGACAGTGAAAACATCATAAGAAGGGTGATATTGGCTGTGGTTTTTGCAATTATTCAGTCATCTGCAAAGAATCCTACCTTTGCAGTCTTATTCTACCCAAGGCCTGTTGCCATGAATCAAAGCCACAAGCCATTAGCCACAAAGGATGCCTTCTTGATCCAGGTTGTCTACTGTGTCTTTCTTATCCTAGTACAGCCAAGGCAGCAGCAGTAGCGGCTTTCAATCCCGCATCTCAGAATGACTATATTTTAGAATTGGAAAGGATTTTGGTGGTCTTTTAATTTAGCTTCTATTCAACGCATATGTTTTCCTTACTATCCTGTCAGTACAACTGTGCAAGTTGTCACTGCAAAATAGCAACATACTAAAGGGCAATGTAAGCACTGCAGATTTGTATATTTATTTTAACAGTTTCCCAACATATGACAGGAAAAGTCTAGCTCTAGAAAAATCAGAGTGCTAGTATGATAGTCTTTCAACGTGGGAATAACGTGTCCTGGGAAGGAGTGCTTTAATTCATATCAAGGTGCCAAGGGCTAGTCCCCTGCTCAGTTTACTCACTTCTCCAAAAACAACTTGAGGGAGAGTCAACTCTTAAAACCCTGCAAGCCAACCACGTCTATTTTCAACTCTGACTGCAGCACATCCAAGGGAAGCTAATCTACTTGCCTAGACACCCTACCTATCCGTTCTTCCTAAAAGCTGCAGATCTGGTCCTTGTCAGTGGGAGAGTCATAAATGTGATAGGAAATGCTGCTCGAGATCATTCAAGCCCCACCTTTTATAGATGAAGCAAATGAAATTTAAAGGTGGTCTGGGGTTTGTGTGGCAAAGGTCAGGCATCAAGTTAGTGACAGATTCAGGGTGAGAACACAACTCACTTTCAATCCAGTGTTCTTTCTGTTCTAAAACGCTATTTCCTTAGCCCCTTTTCTGTAGGTCAGCAATCCTTCAAAGAGAGCGCTATCAATTCCTACAAATTCCTCTGTGTCCTAGATTTTTTCTGTCTGGGCTTGTTCCATTGCCATTGCCTTTAAATCATGAGTCAAGGAGGAGAAATACTGATAATAGTTCTTGCTCTGCTTTTATCAGGACCAAAGTCCCAACAAGACTTTCTCATGGGAATTCCCTGATAAACCTCAGTCACACTGATCACTTGTTTGCAAATCTGAGTGGTTCTGTTTATTCTAACTGATAGGATTTTACATTTATGAGCACAAGGTACATGCTTCATATTTTTTTTAAATACTTTTATTGATTTCAGAGAGGAAGGGAGAGAGACAGAGACAGAAACATCAATGATGAGAGAGAATCATTGATCGGCTGCCTCCTGCATGCCCCCTATTGGGCGGGGGGGCGGGGGGGCTGTCGAGCCTGCAACCCAGGCATGTGTCCTTGGCTGGAATCGAACCTGGGACCCTTTAGTCCACAGGCCGACGCTCTATCCACTGAGCCAAACCAGCTAGGGCTGCTTCATATTTTTGATACCAAACCTTTAAGACAAGCACTTGAGAAAATACTGATTTAGGTATCACACATTGGTCTGCAGTCCTTGCTCTGCTTTGCCAAACATGATTTCATAGAAACAAACATTTGCATGTGGCCTTCTTCAGACCTACCCAACATTTGTACCTTTAGGTAGAAACAGGAGTGTCAGGTTGACTGACGAGATGATTCTTGTCTCTAAATGCACTGTCTCCTCCAGAAGGAATGATGTGGGGCCTGAAGAAAGGTTCGCCCTCAGTGAGGACCCAGAGCCTTCTTCTGTGCTGGGGCCGGCCCGACCTGACTTCTTTGTCGTTTCCTCCACAGTTCCCACTGCAGTGGTTTGGAGTCCCTGCCATCCTGAAAGGCTGGTTTGAGCGAGTGCTCATCGGGGAGTTTGCTTACACGTACGCTGCCATGTATGACAAGGGACCCTTCCGGGTAGGTGGATGGTTCTGCTTTTTCTAACAGCTGGGTGCTGGGGAGATTTGGCCTGAGGCAGAGTTTTGAGCACAATTAGATACTACGGTCCGGCTCCCGGTCCCTTTGGAAGAGATGCATAATTAAGTTTTAACAGACATTTTGACATGATGTTTAGGATTTGTTTTAAAATACCCCAGGGAAAAGAGAGGTAAGGGGATTAGATAAAACTAGAATGGCAATCTGCCAAGGGTTGAAGCTGGGTGGTAGATGCATCATTATACAGTTGACCCTTGAACAACACAGGTTTGAACTGCACAGGTCCACTTATATGCGGATTTTTTCCCCAATAAGTACTGTAAATGTATTTTCTCTTCCTTATGTTTTCTTAATAACATTTTCTTTTCTCTAGCTTACTTTAAGAATACAGTATAAATACATATGACATACAAAATATGTTTATCCACTGTTCTCATTGGTAAAGCTTCCAGTCAACAGGAGGCTATTAGCAGTTACATTTTTGGTCAGTCAAAAGTAATATGTAGATTTTTGACTGTGTGGGGGGTAGTACCCCTAACCCCTACAATGTTCAAGGGTCAATTGTACTATTTTCTTTATGTTTGAAACATTCCATAGTAAAAATAAATAGTGTGTCTTCATTTTTCAGAGACCCAACTACTATACAAGAAACATTTGACCTTCTAGATGACATGCCTAGATCTATGCCTAGCACTGTAGGGAGACAGAATAAAACAGTAAACAAATAACTCCTAGGCACCAGCAGTCAACACTGGTTTTGCATTTACATGACAGTCTCCCCGGATGTGCCACACCCAGGAGTATGGAATCCTTGGCTTGCCCCTGCTCACACGTCTGTCTGTCTGTGGTACCGCCTTCCAGGCAGGTACTTCTGCAGAGTCATACTGAGTGGCTCAGAGGAGCACCATCAACAGCAGATGGGTGGATGTTTGTGTTCTCCCTGGGGCTGTTTCATTAGCTTCCTGTCACCAAGGAGATGCTCAGGGTGATGACTTTTCTTTTACAGAACAAGAAGGCAGTGCTGTCCATCACCACTGGTGGCAGCGACTCCATGTACTCTCTGCAGGGAGTCCACGGGGACATGAACATCATTCTCTGGCCAATTCAGGTACCTCATTTTCAGTGAACCTTCAGGGGGATTACCTAACTGAGCTTTCTATGGGGTCCAGATCCTCAAGATAACAACTGAAAACAGACCTGAGGTGAAAGCATAGTAATGATTCACAACTACAGGGAGCTTTAAGATTTACCTGTCTTCCCAGGCCCCTGTGCTTACAGAATAACCCGTGTGCACGTGTCCACACACCACTCTCCTAACCGAGCACTAGTGCAGCCACATGGTCTGATTCTCTCCAGGTGACTGACATCTCTCCAATCTTCCTATCCTTCTCCAAGAATATTCTCACAGACTATTAGAGTGCCCTCCACCCCAATTTAAGAAATGCTTTAGTTCAGTGAATAAAACTGAAGTCTGAAGTATGCTTTTTGGTGGTCACTGGGCTCTCAGGATAATCTCTTCTAAGGAAGAGGGGTGGAGAGAAGAGCAAATGAGGTGGCCACCTATAATATTGGAGAATTAATATTACTATTGGAGAATGGATGATACGCACCGTTTGTTAAGATTCATCTAGTTCTATGGAGAGGCAGGGAGCAGCAGGCAAGGGAGCGGCTGCCAATCAGCTGCAACTCTCCCTTATGGAACAGAACTTCCGACACTTCTGGCAGAGGATCCTAGGCTGGCACAGGTTCAAGGTTTTATTTATATGAAGAAAAGCACAGCTGAATAGGCTAAAATAGGTAACAGGCAGCTAGGTCTGGGAGCAGAAGGTGAGAGAATACAGTTCTGAACTGCTTCTGCAGGGTGCCTCCGCCTCCACGTCAGTGTCTTATTGGAAAGCCCAGATAAACCTTTGTGGTTTGTATCTGGTACAAGCGGTTTGGGGTTTGTAGTGACTCACCTTTGTGCTTTGTGTCTCCCCAGAGTGGCACTCTGCATTTCTGTGGCTTCCAGGTCTTAGAACCTCAACTGACATACAGCATTGGGCACATTCCCGCGGATGCCCGACTTCAGGTCCTGGAAGGATGGAAGAAACGCCTGGAGAGTATCTGGGATGAGACTCCACTATATTTTGCTCCAAGTAGTTTCTTTGACCTAAACTTTCAGGCAGGATTCTTAATGAAAAAGGAGGTCCAGGAAGAGCAGAAAGCTAAGAAGTTTGGCCTTTCTGTGGGCCATCACTTGGGCAAGTCCATTCCGACGGACAACCAGATCAAAGCCAGAGAATAAGACTCACAAGGCTTGATTTTCTTCTAAAATGTAGCCAAGTCTAGGTTTCTTCTTCAGGCTTCCTTTAGTTTTTAAGATTTGTGCCTTTCTTTTTCCACGAGGAATGAATATAAGAGAGATTAGACTATTCATACATTTTTCAATAGTTTTTTTAAAAACATAACTGATTTTTACAATTGCTATCATGGCAACATCTGATTAGGTTCAAGAGGCCATTTAAAATATAAAGCAGGGAAAGGTGTAGAAAGGTGCTAGAAAATATCCTTTAAAGTCCTGTGTACAACTTAATCCTTCTCTTAGGGACACATTTTTAGGGTTAAATCTGGCTATAAAACATCTAACTCTTCAATGATCTATTTTTCTTTTAATTATCTCTCTGTGGTTTGCAGCAAAAGGGAATTGCCCAGAGAAAGCAATGACTGAATCGGTCAGACCTAAGGGACTTGTTTGTGATATGCATTGGTTTTAATTACTACATAGTGACTGGTATGGCTAATCTGAGTGTTACTCTTCCTTTAACTTCTGTTGTTTGTATACAGTACACACAGGTATCTTGAAATGAAAAGCTAATAAAAGTCTCCTTTACCTCAATCTTCTAATTTAATGTCTGCAGAGATAAAACACATCTGTGTACTTCAATTTGCCACAATGAATGAATTCAAAAAAGGAAACCGTGCCCCAATTCTTAAAAACATCCTTCCACAAACACTGCTGTATAGGTGATCTATAAAATCACATGGAAAGTTTTTCCCTGTATCATTGCTAAACTGATGACTTTCCATTTAAGGATGTGTTTTGGTCACAGGACTTTTGGGATAAAATGGTAAGCCGGTGTTTCATTTTACTTTGGTGAATAATTCTGGCACAATATTCTAATTTCACTTTGAATTTCCTAAGTGCAGCGCCACAGAGTTGGTATAATTCGAGTAGAGTATGATGAAAGACTGCCCTCTTGTGGTGCATGGGAAGAAAACAACAAATGATGCAAAGCAAGGTGGCCTGAAACTGGGACTAGCTTCATACCTGCCACAGAAATGATGGTGTCAGGCACCAGAGAACATCAGTTGCCAGATCACTGGGGATTTTTTCCTTTTACAATATCCACAATGACAGATGGCTTGGTGCTTCTGCTTGGTGAAAATATTTTCTTTTGCCTTCTCCTCACTTTGTGTACGTTTCTAAAAGTTCCAAATGAAATAAAATCCATTTCTGCAAAACAAACCCACACTCTAGTTTCAGTGAAGTTAGAGAGAGAAGCATTCAGGCAAAAGTGGGAGATGAGGTGAGAGAATTCAGTATTAAATTAGGGTCAGAGCTTGTAAGGTGACTTGGCTTGCGAGTTTGCTTAATAGGGCTGCTTCCTACTGAATGACACACATTTAAAGAGATCCAGGAAATAATCGAGTGGTGTAGAAATCAAGAAAAACAGAATGCAGGAAACAAATGCCAAGGGGAATTATTTATTCTGATTTGCCCAATTTATTTAGGTTTAGCCAATCAATGGGCATGGCACCCTTCTAGGTACTGGGGATGCAGCAAAGTGCCTACTCTCATGGAGTTTGCATTCTAGTGAAGAACAAGAGATGAACAAATATGGGTACATCTACACGATGGAATACTATGCTGCTGTAAAAAAGAAGGAACTCTTACCATTTGCAACGGCATGGATGGAACTGGAGAGCATTATGCTAAGTGAAATAAGCCAGTCAATGAAGGAAAAATACCACATGATCTCACTCATTCATGGATAATAAAGACCATTATAAACTTATGAACAATAATAGATACAGAGGCATAGCTGCCTCAAACAGATTGTCAAACTGCAGCGGGAAGGCCGGGGAGGGCTGGGGGCAGGAGGGAGGGGGGTAAGAGATCAACCGAAGGACTTGTATGCATGCATATAAGCATAACCAATGGACATAAGACACTGGGGGATGGAGACCAGGGGATTGTCAAGGGCGGGGGAAAAAAAAGGACACATATGTAATACCCTTTGTAATACTTTAAGCAATAAAAAAAAAGAGAGATGAACAAATATGTCAAGTGGTGATAAATGCTGGGGAGAAAAAGCAGAAGAGGGTTAGTGATGGGATATGAGTCCCATTTTATCCAGGGTGATCAAGAAAGACTGCTCTGATAAGGCTCCATTTAAGCCAACTCCTGGTAAAGTGAGAGTGAGACATGGATATGTGAAGGAAGAGCACTGCAGGCAGCAATGATGTGAGTGCAAACCCTGAGGCAGAGCATGCTTAGTATGTTTGAGGGCGAAAAAGGAAGTTACTAAAGCAGAGAAAGGAAGAGAAGGATGGACCAGACATAGTTGGATCAGACCACAGAGGGCTGTATAAGCATTGTAAGAATGTAAAGCTAGGAAATCCTGGAGGATTCTGAGCAGAGGTGTAACATAATCTGACTTACGTTTCAGTCTGGCTGGTATGTGAAGAATCAAGTATGAGGGGTAATGATGGATGCGGGGAGAATTTTTGGGAAGCTGTTGTCACAATCTACATTTGTTTTGGAAGCAAGATGATAGCAATAGATATGTTGACAAGTGGTTGGATTCTGGATATATTTCAAAGATAGGAATAATAGGATTTAATGATGGATTGGATTTAGGTCAGATAAAAACAAAAACAACACACTTTAATGGTATTTTAGCCTAAGCAGTTGGAAGAATGGAGATTCCATCTAAGCTGAGGAAGAATCTGGAAAGAGTATTGGGGGCAAGAGTGGGGATGGAAAGGGTGGTATCAAAATCTGACTTCAGACATGTTACATTTGAGACATCTATTAAGACAGCCAAGTGAAGCTGTCAAGCTGGCAGTTGGATAATAGGAACCTCGAGTTAAGGGAGAAATTATGGCTAAGGATACCACATTTGAGCATCTTCAGCATGTGGGTCCTATATAAAGCAATGAGACTGGATGAGGTCACCTAGGAAGTGAGTTATGATAGAGGAGAGACCTGATGAGTGACACCTAGGGCTCCCCAATGTCAGGAGGTCAGTGAAGCAGGAGAGCCGAGCGTGGTGTCCTGAAAGCCGAGTGAAGAGAGAGTTTCAAGGAGGGAGTGATCAGTGTGCCAAATACTGCCGATAAGCCAAGTAACAGAGGCTGGAGGACTGACCTTTAGACATGGCCATGTGGAGGCCATTGGGGGTTTTGACAAGAATCAGTTTAGAGTGTTGTGATAGAAGCCTGATTAGAATGGGTTCAAGAATAGAAGGAGAGGAAGTGGAAACAGTGTGTGTGGTTAAAGGAAGTTATTTTATTTGATAGTCTAAGAGATAAGGGAAATTTATGTGCCAGTGAGAACGACTGAGAGAGAGAAGGTTTTGATGTTGGAAAAAGGGGACAGTTAAAGGGACATGTCTTTGAAAAGACAAAAGGATATGGGATCCAGAGCACAAGAGACAGAAGAACAGAGTAATAACAGGCCTAGTAATACTAACACAAGGTAACACTTATTAGGCATTTATGTGTGCTAGGAACTAAGTAATTTTACATGGATTCATTTACTTAATTCTTGAAAAAACTCTGAAGAGAGTCCAATTTTTGTTTCCACACTACAGATAAAAAATTGAGAAATAGAGAGGTTAAATAGGTGTAGGAACCAAAATTCCACCTAAAGAAGGCAAACTCAAGAGCCTATGCTTTAAAATATCTATAATAATAAAAGCGTAATATGATAATTAGACCGGACATCCTTCTGGGCGACCTTCCGGATGAAGCCAGGGCTTCGAGGGAAGCCTGGGTCCCGGGTGCCTGCCGGTGGCCGGAGGGAAGCCCGGGTCTGGGGTGCCAGAGGGAAGCCGGTGCCGGCAGCCAGGGCAAGGAAGGCCTACTCTTGCACCAATTTCGTGCATCAGGCCTCTAGTTACATTATACTGCCTCAGTAGAAGCAGGGACAATGGTACCATGAAATAGAGAGCAAGAGTAGCAATCAATACCTCTTCCTCAGAGCAAGACCATTTAGTGTTGCTGTTGACTGTAGCTGCTTTTGTACTGCTAGAGTTCCTGTTGTGTCACAAGCAGGATAAATGATGTTTCAGTTCTTATAGGTCTGATTATATGGCTGCTGAGAATTTGCTCCTTACAAGATGACAGAGCAGTACTTTTACCAGCCTGGAGTAAAGCAGGACAATTATTTCCCTTGCTCTGGATACTCTGATTTGAATTACATAAACCAGGACTGCATCAGCTTTTCTGGTGGCCTCTGCAGTCTCATCTTCAGATCAGTCTCTTGCCCACATATGCTGTTTTTCTGGACCATAGTATTGTTTTTCTAATATATATATATATATATATATATATATATATATATATTATTGATTTCAGAGAGGAAGGGAGAGGAAGAGAGAGGTACAAACATCAGTGATGAGAGGGAATCATTGATTGGCTGCCTCCTGCACGTTGGACTGAGCCCACAACCCAGGCATGTGCCCTTGACCGGAATCAAACCTGGGACCTTTCTGTCTGCAGGCCGATGCTCCATACACTGAGCCAAACTGGCTAGGGCTGGACCAAAGTATTTTTGAAATTTAGTTATTAAATTTAATTTGTTTATTCTCTTTCCAGTGCTGTTAAAGTCAATAGCCAAAAGAAGAAAACTTTTAAACTTATTTTGAATGTTGGCAACATTGTTGAAATATATATGTAGTTTATTTAATATATAATTAATTTAATCCTCCTAAAGTGACAACTCATTTAGATACATTTGGATATGTTAAAAATTCAGTCACTTTTGCCCTGGCCCTGTAGCTCAGTTGGTTGAGTGTCATCCTCTAAACCAAAAAGGCTGTGGGTTTGATTCCTGGTCAGGGCACATACCTAGGTTGTGGGTTCAATCCCCAGTCAGGGTGCATACAGGAAGTAACCAATCGATGTTTCTCTTTCTCTCTCCCTTCCTCCCTAAAATTAAAAAAAAAAAAATGCAGTCACTCCCACAGAATCAACACACTATCTAAAGCAGTACTTCTAAAATATTAGTTTCTTATGTATCATATTCATAATATCCATGTATCATCTGTATTAGTATTTGTTTAATATACATATGTGTGTTGTTGTTGTTTTTAATTTCAGAGAGGAAGGGAGAGGGAGAGAGAGAAACTTCAGTGATGAGAGAATCATGGATCAGCTGCACAATCTGTGGGATCTAGCTTGCAACTCGGGCATGTGTCCTGACCAGGAATCGAACCGTGACCTCCTGGTTCATAGGTCAGAGCTCAACCACTGGGCCACGCCAGCCTGGCTGTTTAATACGTTTTTTAAAAAATAAGTTTTTATTGATTTGAAAGGAAGGGAAACATCAATTGGCTGCCTCCTGCACACCCCCTACTGGGGATCAAGTCTGCAACCTGGGCATGTGCCATGACTGAGAATTGAACTGTCATGCACAACTTCTAGGTACATGGGACTGTGCTCAACCAATTGCGCCATACCGACCAAGTCTTATTACTGTTCTTTAACGTGATTGATATCTCCCTATAGTCTAGTAGGTGTACACATATTTTTTCTAATGTACATTAAAACATATACTATGTTTAAAAAAATGTTTTCCATGTATCACCTGAAATCATTTTGAGTGATATGATGTTATATGTTACATTCTAGTAAACACTAATTTATACATGTGGAAATAACTGCCAATAGAATAAAAAGAGATTGCCTTTGGATGTGGGACTGAGGGCTAGGGAGACTTAATGTTCATCAAAAGCACCTCCATGCTACATGATTTGCTACATGTATGTTCTATTTTACTAATAAGCATGAAACATTTAAACTCGGTAAAACAAACAAAAAATTGATCACACTAAGCACTTTGAACACTAACAGGCACAAAATAACTACTTGAAAATATTTCTATATTTCATACCTTTTCCTAATGATTTTATAATTTCAGCAAAATGGCATTCTGCTGCTCAAAAATGACATTTATGGATACAAATTCATCCACAAAGTTTGAGGAAAAAAAGACAGTTACCCACTGCAAAATGAAAACTTTCAATTTTTTTATTTTGACTGCAGCTGTTTACAGAAATATAGTTGCGAGTATACAAATGTTCAATAGAAGCAAAATATCTTTTTAATATTTAACAAGTTATCACAGATAGCTAAAAACATAGATGCAAATAAAATTCCCCCAGAGAACAAACTGAAAATATCTGGTGTCAGTGCTCTGCAACCCCAACTATGAAAGCCACATACACAAAAATAGTCATTGTAGGACAATGGAAGAAGGCAGTTCAGTGGTTGATCAGTGTGCTCAAGCAAATAAAATTTAAATGGCAGAATGGTAGCTAAACCACTTGAGAATAGGTTAATGAAATACTTGTAATATATTTATTTAAAAGACGAAGTAAAAGTTGTCAAAAAATTAGCAACTACTTGGAGCTTATCAATTAGAAATAAGAGAACAAGGTGAGAAGATACATTCATTAGATGAAAAGAATTAGCTGAATGTCATTGGAATCAGTTTGTCGTCCCTAAAGTCATAATCACTTCAGTGGACAGCTCTTTACTGGACACATTAGTCTGATTCCAATCCCATTCTCAAACATCTGAGATGGGGTGTGTGTGTGTATGTGTGTGTGTGCTGTCCTGAGGTTCATTAGCTAAAATAACAAGTGATCCCCATGAGCTATTCAAATCAGGCAAATTACTTCTGAGGAAGAAAAGAGCAGGGGTGATATGAGGCTTAAATATGGGCTTTTAGAAGAGATATTACAAGTTAAAGTCAAACAGAATTATGGTAGAGTGTTTTGGGTACAGAATACTATTATGCAATCAAGTGGGGGAGAGAGAGGAAAGGGAACAAGAAAGGAGGAATGTAGCTAGAGAGCATCTCCCAACAGTTTGCCTATGTATTTTCCAGCACCATAGTTTGTAGAGTAAGCCACTTACATTTCCACTGCTAGTATTAAGCAGTGGTGATTTTTATAGAGTATATAATTAGTTTTATTTTGAAATGTGCATTTTTCTTTCATGAGTTAATTGATTTGTAAACAGCGGGAGGAAGAGTAGAACAATTACAGAGGTATTAAATTACACAGGAAGATGAAAATGAATGAATAAATCACTTGACTTATGGTGGTTAGTTTATATTTACCATGGTGCATACATTGACAAGGGAGAAATGCCCAAATTATATAATGCATTACTGTCTTGTTTAAGATTTTAGTAAATCGTTGTCTGAAGTATAAATTCCAAGGATAGCTGTAACTCTACTGCAGCAGTTCTCATACTAAGCAAGCTACTTTTAAAGAAGTTTCATGTATTCAAAAAAAGAAATTAAATAAGGTGCTTTGTTGATCTGGCCAGCCATCTTGTTTAATATCTCAGATACAAATATAAATATAGGAATGACAAATTTGTTCTGAGAGTTGGCCTAGCCACACCAAAATTGTTGTCTGCTGGTAAAATAAGAGGCAATGAAAAAAAAGCTTGTATTATCACTGCCCACAATGTACCCATTTTATGCATAAACAGAATAATTTAGCACCTGTCAATTATATTAGCTACTTAAATGTCATAACAATTAAAAGAAATATAAAACATTGCACCTATATCTTTAAATCAGTCACTTAATGTAAACTTTTTAGTAAGTGGTAGGAATATGCCCAACTAAGTTAACTGAATTATCAATAACTAGACTAATTGTATATATACATAAAATATACTATAAGCAGTATGGAGAATAAGTTATCATTGCCAATAAAGGATTATGAATAACCAGATCAGGCTGAATTTACTTAGAGAACAAAGTATAACTATCTATATGAGTAGGGAAAAAAACAGCTTTTTAGATCTTATTGTAAATAGTTTATACCAGTAATTTTCAAACTTGACCCATGCACCAGAATCACCTGGAGGGTGTTAAAACACAGGCTGCTGAGCCCCACTCCAGAGTTTCTGATTCAGTGTGTCTGGGATAGGCCTTAAGAATTTGTATTTCTAACTAGTTCTTAGGCGATACTCATGTTAGCTGGTAGGCTAAGGACATATTTTGAGAACCACTGGATTATACATATATGTAGAAAACTATATACTGTAATGTTCTTATGTACATGACATAAAATATATAGGAAGAGGGCTGGGTTTAATTAACTCTCAAACATATAGATTAGCAAGCTAAAATGATTTCCTGAAGTGTAATCATTTCCCCTTATAGTCAATTACATTTCAAAGTCTAAGTCCTACTATAGTCATTTTAGAAAATATTCACATAACACTTATATTAACTTACTGTCCAAAATAAAAAGGGACATAAACATTCTAAATGGTTAAGATGTATTCATTAAGAAGGAATCATTACTATACAGCATCCTTGACTTCTTTGGAATGATTAAAGTGCATAATATCAATAGGGTATTAGGAATATTGCATAAATGTTTGCAGTCATCAGTGTCACTAACAACCATGGAAATACTCACATGAGGAAAGCAGCTCATCCCAAAGCTAATTCTATCCTGACCTGTTGCTGATGGTCCTTTCTTCAGGCACCACCACCGTGTTAAGGAGCTGGATGGAACATAGGCAAAATTAACAAAAACTAGAGAAATACTCAATTCAGATCTTAGATCTGGAGAGACTCAGATATAACTTCTTCATTTCTTTTAACACTATTTTTCATAGGTAGATTATTAAGGCTCTGATGAGCAAGAAGTGCACTATAATTAATTACTTGGCCCTGTCTAGTTAGAAAAACTGACATTATCACATTTTATTTAAACTAAGTGTTTATGACTTATTTTCACTCATCTAATTAAGATCACAGAAGATGCTTTGAACACTTCCTGAAATTTAACTACACACACATTTGTATGCATGGAGTCTCATAGGTAGTAAAATTTTCATTAGCATTCAGGTAAGATCTATCATTAGTTGGCTGAGATGAAGACAAATTTAGTTAATTTGTATAAAACCTAAATAGTATAATTCTGTAATCTTTTACTTACCCTCCCTCAGAGGAATGATTCTGATAATGTATCTTTTATGTTACTCTTATGCAAAAAGGAGTTAGAAACTTATGAAGTTGTTTCCTGTGATGATTAAGAAAAAGAGCTATAAAAATCTTCTATTTGGCACAACCCCTTATAGTGCCCTTCTGGTTGCTAGATGGGATGCTGCCCAATTCATGAATTGCTTAATAAATCCAAGTAGATCTTCAAAAAGAAAAGAAAGAAATGAAGAAAAGAGAATGACTAAGTGGAAAAGTTCAAACTGGGACCTATTAAAATAATGTATGTATTTTTGGCAATAGTGAAAAAGGAAACTACAAAAAGAGGGGCACTATCATGGTAAAAGGCACTCTTTCATTTAATTTAGATATAAAATATTAATTTTAAAATGTCCAAAAGAGAAAGTAGAATAAAAATATAATTTTATTAATAAGTGAGGCTAGAATGGCATGAAAATCAATGGGGACTAAAGAAGTAATTACAGCCCTGGGACAATTCACAAATTACATTGTAGGTATTATTTTGACATTTACTACATTATGAACATTATCTCCACAATTTAGCTCTACTGATACAAATAAGCAGAGGAGATAACCTTTTTATACATGTTATTAGATTTTACTAAACCACTTAGTAGGGTATATTCTCTGAGTTATTATTCTAATAAAGCTGCTGAACTATTCAGTCTCTTTCTTTCATTAAGTCCCTCCCTGCATATAACCAAAGTCATTCAGCTATAACATGGTTGTCTTGGTTAGGGATGCAGCCTGTGGTCATGAAGCTAAGTAAAGCTCACAGATCTTAATATAATTTTCAACTGATTAAAAAAATCAACTAGGAAACAGATATTAGAACAGAAAATTTCACCAGAAAGATGAAAAATTCTCAAGTTACTTCTGGTGAATATTTTTAAGTCATATTGAATTTGAGACTTTGATTTATTAATTAAAGCATTTAATTCTGTTCTTTAATTAGTGCTGAGTCTAAACAGATATTACTTTTCCAAAACAAGCATCTAGAATGGCTTAAAAAGTCAAAAGGAACTATCTTAATTCTAGAGGGACTCAGCTATAACTACTTTCTCATTTCCTTGGACACTACTTCCCCTTAGCAGATTAAATGAAGTTCTGATGGGCCAGAAATGCACATATAATGAAACTCCCAACTATAGCATATACAGTATTACAAAAAGGAAGAGAAGGAGGGGGGGGGGGGGAGGACAAGAGGGAGGAGGGGGAGGGGAGGAGAAAGAGGAGGAAGAGAAGGAGAGGAAAGGAAAAAAGAAAGGAAGGAAGGGAAAAAAGGAAGGAAGGTCCCTCATTAATACTGCATCTATAACAAACAAAGTCCTCTAAAAAAACCTGTTCTAGGGAGACTGGTGAAAACAGATTTGCATTGGCTAAATAAAAACATGACTCTAACTACAAAGGTAACATGATAAAGCTCAGAAGCAAAATTATGACTTCTAATTATCTTCTCCCATGTTGGTGTGGATATATAATGGAATGACAATAAGGAATACAACACACACAAACACTAACACAGACACAGAGATAAGCTCCAAGCATTAATGTGAGTTGCTAAAGCAAGAACAATTGAATATAATAACAACAAAGGACTAAAATGTGGTTCATAACTTATTTAGGACCTTCTGCCATAAATAACTTGTAACAGTAATCTGGAAACTGTATTATTAGCACAAGTATCAACCACTGACCACTAAGCTAACTCTTCAATAAGAAGATAAATATTTTTGTAACCAAATTGTATATTCAGAATGCTGTACCTAACATTGACCTTTAGGGATAAGGAACATTTGATAATGTTAAAAAAAACACACAACATCATTATTGAATAAGAATATGGTAGCATAGCACAGCCCTTGTATAAATAACCACAAATTTTATGAAAATAAAAACTGGGTTTTCTGCCTCTGTCCAATCAAACCATTCAGGTGTATGTTCTGTTCTAAACTTAGATATTATAAAACAGAAAATTGGTCCCTGGTGACTTGGCATTGGCAATCAGCATTTTACAATGATAAACCTCTTGCTAAACAACAGAAATCAGCACACAGCCAGTCTTCTTGCCACCACTTCATCCATAGAGCAATGTTAACATTCTAATTAGAATTTGGTGAACAAATAGACTTCCTGAGTCTCCTGTTTAATCTCTTAGAAAAAAATTCAGAAAACTCAGAAATAAACTTACAGTATTTTATTTCTACTTCTTATTTTTATACTTGCTGGATAAGCTTTCTGGCATTTGTTAACCCTCTGCAGTTGGAGTTTTACATTTTAAAACTGAAGCACTGGATTGTGTGGCTGGTCTTTCTCATAACCTGAACTATATTGAGTAATTTTTCTCGATAGTGATGGGGGGAGAAGAGATATATTGAGGAAAATGCTTTCAGTTCAGAGAATTTATAAAGTAGCTCTGGATATTACAAGGTGGGGAAAATGTTATTAAAATTACAAACATTTTTAGTGTCTTTATAAATAAAAAAGCATAGAACACAGAAGGCCAATTAATAATAATAATAACAATAATAAAATATTAAATATATAGTGAGCAAAGACTGAATGGCTCATTCTCGTGAAACACCATTTGACACAACTGCCTAGATGGGTTTCCTTACTCTAACATTTTGCTGAGTAAAATATCCAGCAAACACACAGTAAGCTGCCTTTAGCCCACTAGGAACATCAAAGAACTGCCTGATGGAATGGCCACAGATAAACAGGTCATTTGTTTCAAAAGATACTTAAATAGTCAATAAAGACATAACAAACCCCCCCTCACTGTTATCAGACGCCACGTTGTGGTAGAACATCAGACTAACTCACAAATTTACCACAAAAATGTGTGGCAAAAAAGAATAGTTTATATATATGTATATATATAAATTTCTATATTTATGCCAATGTACTCACTCAGTACAAATAGCAAAATAGTATACCATTTCCTAAATACAAAATATAGCTTTCCAAAAAAATGAAACACACATTAGATATAAACCATCCAAAACTTGAACGATTGAAAACTGTATTCAAAATTAAATGACCCAGAGTAGGTCTCTTTCTGAAAAGTTCCCTTCATATCGGCAAGAAGCCTGTACTACTGAAAACGTAATTCAATGCCTCTCAATCAGAGAGAGAAAGTAAGGTTGGGGGTGATGGGAAGAATATATGAGTAAGAAAAAAAAAAACAAATTAGAAGAAGAGCACATTCAAAGAACCAAGGAAGATCACAAAAAAAAGGGGAAAAAACTGGCTGTATAAACAAAACCAAGACCACACTTCCACTAAGTTTAACTAAATGTATAGGATAGAAAACAATAACAACAACAACAAACCAAATAGAAAAATAGCCTTCAACAAACCATCAACAGGCTATTTTTTGTACACTTAAAAAAATAAATGAAACTGACAAGATACCAAAACATCTTATCTACATATAGAAGCCACACACAATTTGGCCTTAAACTGTATTAACAGCTTTCTACATGCCAAAAGAAAAATAAGACATAAGCATGTGTCTAGACAACAGGTTGTAATGAGAAGCAAGCATCCCATGGGTGGTAAGAACACCCAAAACTGTATAACTGCTACAACTACAAGTTCTGGAGTGTGTTATTTTGCTCTCTATAGATGAAACACAAGTTAATTCTTCATTTTAAGTCAATGACATGACCCTGTAAAGCCTAAGGCTTGTGGGAACCATCAGATAGTGACCACTTCAATCTGTAAAGCACTAAGGTGACAAGTAAATTACACTCACTGCAGCTCATGGAGAAGTTATGCTTCAAGAAATTTTACTTTGCCTTTTAAAAATTAAAATTTATACTGTTTCCCATTAGAGGGAAAAATTTGAAGACTTCAGAACAGCACCGTTCACGGAGAAAAATGCATTGTTTTTTGTTTCTCAGGAATCAGCTCTCCTCATTCCTGAAAATCAGCTCTCCTTACACCTCCCACCTGTGCTGCAGGACTTGTTGGGTTACCCCAGATCAAAGTGGCCTTTTCCTTAAGATGCTACAGGGTCACAAAGCTAGGAATATATTACCAATTTTTTAAAATAAAGTGAAAAGGAAGGGAATAATATAGATGAATATAAAAAGGGAACAACCAGCCCAAGACTGGGTTAAGAAAACAGATTTAAATTGCTGTGTCAATTTAAACTACTGCAAGAGGATATCAGAATATAATTTACCATAATATTATCCCCTTCACTTTTTAAAGAGCAAGATAATTATTCTTCTATGTACTTATGGCTGAACTCCTTATCAGAAATACAGAGAATTAAAGAACAATCTGAAAAATAAAATCAATAGCACTCCAGCTGTTCCCAGTTGTGTGTTGTCTGCCTTTGTGATAAAGAAGCCTCTTCTCTGTGTAAAGCTCTTAATACAGCTTACTTGTCAGAATGCTATCTCTCCAGTTTTCTATAAAAACTGAAAAAGGATTCCTTCACTTTGGCCAATAGCTGTGCTTTTTATATTGAAAAATCACAGCCTTAGTTATTATTTGAATTTTCCTTTTTCAAAAGCTGTTATTTGACTAAAACAATGCAGGAAAGAAAATGACAAAGAACAAAAGTAAACATGACAATATGGGTTATTTTCTAATAGCAATAATAACTGAGCAGTCCAGCTTTTAAATTTAAACTGTACTTTTAAAGAAATAGCTCCTAGGAAAATAGCAACAATTAAATCTGTCAGCTTGAAACTCAAGCAGATTCTCAGTCATCAGTGCTATTAGGAATACAAAATCTGAACATGTTAACGATGGTGGCTAGTCACTGCAACAGGCAGCATAGGTGTGCTCATTTGCCGCCAGAGTAAAATCTATCCATTTACTCCATCATAGTTTTTCATATTTCATTTTGTTTTTAAAGTAACAGTTCAATAATCCTCATGGAATCACAAGATCTCAGGACATCTTGGAATCAGGATTTTCTTCATGGAATTTCTAAAAAAAGAAAACATTTAATATAACTCACTAGTGAGGGAAAGCACTTATAAAGTTCCTGTTACCCTGAATGATCCCAAAGTATATTACAGTACCATAGATGATACTTTATCATATTTATACTTCCACAGGGTTTTCTGACTCAATATTTATTCCTCGAGGAAAGGAGAAATGAGACATTATTATATCTAATATATAATACATACATCAGATTTTCTGTCAATCCAAGGCAAAGAAGGTTAGAGCCAGAAGAAATTGCCAGTATTTTTTTTAATATATTTTTATTGCTTCCAGAGAGGAAGGGAGAGAGAGATATAAACATCAATGATGAGAGAGAATCACCGACCAGCTGACTCCTGCACGCGCCCCACTAAGGATTGAGCCCACAACCTGGGTATGTGCCCTTGACTGGAATCGAACCTGGGACCCTTCAGTCCGCAGGCTGGTGCTCTATCCACTGAGCCAAACTGGCTAGGGCGGAATGCCCAGTATTAACAAAATGACCATAAGCTATCACATATCAAATAACTTATTCAGAGTAAAAAAAAGTACCACCTGGTGAGTACACCACATTTACTTAACCAAATCTGCTGGGAATAATAAAATTCATTGATGCTTTTCAATAAAAAGAGAAGCCAAAATGCAATACTTACATATCCAGTTAAAAGGAGCCAGTCATGTTGTTCCCTTGGTTTTGCAATGAAACAAGCAAATCAATCTTTTCAATGTTCTGGTTGGTGTTCATAGAGGATGCCAGTGGAGAATTCTCTGGCATTTGCTGAGAAAGAAGTGTTGTCACAGGTGGCTGGCCCTCGTTTTGTGGTTGGCCTGGCTGACTTATGGCCATCAACTGATCGGGCAATGCAGCTGGTCCAGAAGTTAAAAGCTGATTACAGTCTGCAGAGACATTTTAAATAGAGAAGCTATCTGATTAGTTACTTTCTCTTAAAATTCACAAGAAGATATGAATTAGTTGCTGGGGTAAGTCATTATTGTGTTCACTCAGCATAGAACTAAAAGTGAGGCACCTGACAGCCCCCCAAAAAGTACTGATATTCATCTTTGGTTTCCTCTTAGCAGTATACAAACACAACTTTGTCCAGCTACCATCTTAAGTCCTATATAATTTCCTTGGTACATAAACATTAAAGATGGGCTTTTACCTCCTTGGAAACTACTTAAATTGGCTGAGATTTTCTGTCATTCTTCATTTTCCTTTCAAGTTCATAGGTTAAAGTGGCAAACACATACACTACCACATTTAATCCTCCCAATATCCTTGTCAAGTATGTAATATTACCACCATTTTATTAGATGTGCAAACTGAGGTTCATGCCAGTCAAATAACTTGTGTAAGATCTCACAGTCTATTCCTGGTATAACTGGGACTTGAACTCAGTTCTGACAAACTATAATCTGTGTTCTTAAAACCACTGTGCTTTGCTTCCTTCTAATAATAATAATACTTTGACCATTTAAACCAATAACATTTAAGAAATGAGAAATTAGAGTTTCTTACTATTTTGAATGCCAAATAAGAACATTCCTGAAGTCTGCTGAGATGAGCCAGGGGAATTTTGTAGTTGGTTCATTGTGCCTCCTGTAGTGTTGTGAAATAAAGTAGCCTGTGGTTGAGGTGAAGATGTGGCTCCTTGAATTCCAGGCATGTTGTTCTGAGGGGAATAAAGAGGAGACTGTTGCATCTCTTGTTGGTTTATACTGGTCTGCAATGCAGACATGGATGCTGGAGAGAGGAAGAGAGTTACTTGCTGCTCTTGAGAACTGGGTGACCCCTGGACCAGCTGCATCTGAGGAGAGCTATGGAACAAGGAAGTCTGTGACGATTCAGACTGGGTAGGACCTGGGTTTTGAAGTGAGGAAACTGTGGGCTGGTTCTGAAATTGCATGGGCTGTTGTTGCTCTTGATTCATTGTGGCCATATTATTTTGTTGGTGAAAAATTGACTGGTTCTGTTGCTCCTGATTAGCCATTGGATTTTGACTTGGGTTGAATATCATGTTTGGTGGTGGTGGTTTTTGAGATGCCATTGTAGCCATGGTATTCTGATTACTGAATAAAATACTCTGTTGTTGTTGCTGCTGTTGCTGCTGCTGTTGCTGCTGCTGTTGCTGCTGCTGCTGCTCCTGGGATGGGGAATTACTCTGGATGGCAACTATTGAGTGCTGTGCCTGGAAGATTGTCCCTTGTTGGTTTTGAGGCATTGGATTAGGAGGAAGGGAGCCCAGGGATACCTGAGGCTGAAACAGACCTTGCTGGGAGGGTTGTGCCTGTTCTTGAGAAAGCATGGGGGTCTGAATGTGTGACATTGGAGGCTGCTGTTGGAAAGCAGTTTGCTGCTCAGTGTTTGACGTTGACTGAAGTGGAGAAATTGAGTTCTGAGCTGCAAAAAATGAAATCTGTTCTTCCTGGGCTACTGCATTAGCTTGAAGATTATTCATTGGACTTTGAGAAAGAAATATGTTGGCTGACTGCTGATCTTGAGGAACATTAGAGCCCTGTAGCACAGCCATGGTACTTTGAGAGTGAAACATTGGAGGCTGCATCTGTTCGGTGGAGGTTGTAGAAGTCTGACTGTGAACAATAGGACTTGGGCTGTGAAAAATAGAGCCTTGAGTTTCCTGGGAAAGGTTCTGAGCATCAGCAATAGGATTTTGAGGATGAAAAAGCTGAGCCTGTGAATGAGAAGGCTGCTGCAAAAAATTCCCAGATTGGAGTGACATCATCTCATTACCTTGCTGGAATAAACCATTACCTTGTTGCTGGGCACCACTATTTTGAACACTCATCATACTTTTTGTAGATGAAAAAAGGTTAACTTGAGGTTGACTGTCCCCACTATGTTGCATTTGGACAATGGTCTGAAAGACACTGTTCTGCATCTGTTTTGCTTGTGTGCCTGTTTCCTCTCCATCTCCTGAACTTGACGTTTGAAACATGGTAGTGCCAGGGGTTGCAACCTGCTGTGTGGTGGTTGTATTAGTTTCACTTCCAGAAACTGCAGGAGGAGAAGAAAACAATTCACATTGCATTTGCATGTCTTCACTGGTAGGTAATGCACTCATCATATGAGAAGTCTGCTGGTAAACTGGAGATTGCTGAAGATTTCCATTTGCTGAAGCAGTTGAAGGAAATAATTCCGACTGAATCTGAGCCTGGCAGATACTCTGTTGCATCTCCATCACCATTGCAGCTGATGATTCCATCACCTGCTGTTGCTGTTGCTGCTGCTGTTGATTAGATAATGTGTTTTCAGTCTGTGAGTGAACACTTTCAGCTCTTCCAGCTATTAAATTATCTGGTCTGGTATGGACTGCTGGCTCTGTTGGGGAAAACATTCCAGGGCTTACACTATTTTGAATTTGACTGACTTGTTGAAAAATGTCTGCACTAAGCTGTTCTTGAACATTCTCATTACCATCTGGAGTAGAAAACAAAACTGAAGATAACTGTTGTTGTGCCTCTAAAACTTGTTGTGCCTCTAAAACTTGTTGTGCCTCTAAAACCAAGTCAACATTTCCACTGCTGCCACTAGCAGTACTGCCGCTAAAACTTCCAGCTTGCAACTGCTGAATCGTGTTCTGTATCTGACTCACACTACTTGGTGATGGGAACATACTTGATGAAATCTGCTGCTGTAAAGTCTGTGCTTGTTCTTGTAGTGGTGACTGCTGCTGTTGCTGTGATGCCTCAGTCAGGTGTGACAAATTAATCACAGTTCCATCTGACTGTAATACCTCTCTAGATTGAGTTTCTCTTGTCTGAAACTGTGTGGCCTGCTGCAGTAGTGCATCACTGTTAGGCAGCTGACTAGAAGCAGAAACTGTTGGAAAGGTACCAGGCTGTGAAATGTCCTGTGTTTGGATAGTTGTCAGGGTTTCTGGATTGTATGCCTTGGGCTGAATCTGCTGCTGCTTTTCATTTTCAGAGGGTAAGTGAGAAGATGATGATGATGAAAAAGAGCCATTTCCTGTCATGTTAGAGATATTTTCTAATGTTTGTTGAGTTGATCCAACTGTCTTTGTAGTCTGAAAAATAAAAATTCCCAGATAATATTAATTAATAACCATTAAATGAGCTCATGTGACACTTCAAAAATTAATATTAGTCTAAAAACATATGCATATGCAGGACCAATTTTCCACTCGATATTATTTGGAAAATAGGTATAAGACTATGATTTTTGGTGATACATGTCTGATTGTCTAAAGAGTATTTTTAAAATCCTATATAATAAAAGCCTAATATGCTACGTGTCTGGTTGTCCATTCAACCAATCAAAGTGTAATATGCTAATGATATGCTAAGACCGCGCAAACACTCGCTATGATATGCACTGACCACCAGGGGGCAGACAGGTGACGGGTCAACCAGGCACTATGACATGCACTGACCACGAGGGGGCAGACAGTTGATCAGTTGACCAGACACTATGACGTGCACTGACCACCAGGGGGCAGACGCTCTGACTGGTAGGTTAGCTTGCTGCTGAGGTCCGGCCAGTCAGGACTGAGTGAGACGGGCCGGACACACCCTGGAGCCCTCCCATGGTCCCTCCCTGGCCCCAATCCTGCACCAGTGGGGTCCCTCGGCCTGGCCTGCGCTCTCTCACAATCCAGGACCCCTCGGGGGATGTTGGAGAGCCAGTTTCGGCCCAATCCCACAGGCCAGGCCGAGGGACCCCACTGGTGCACAAATTCGTGCACTGGGCCTCTAGTATGTATTATAAACAAAGTCAAATAAGGAAGTAAAAGAATAATCAACTGCTCAGCCAGTGTGGCTCAGTGGCTGAGCATTGACCTATGAACCAGGAGGTCATGGTTTGATTCTCGGTCAGGGCACATGCTTGGGTTACGGAATCAATCCCCAGTGTGGGGCGTGCAGGAGGCAGCTGATCAATGATTCTCTCTTATCACTGATGTTTCTATCTCTCTCTTCCTCTTCCTTCCTCTCTGAAATCAAATATATATATATAAATTAATATATAAAGTAATCAGCTATTGATATGCTCAGGACAGTTAAAACATTAATTCTATGGTTCATGAATTAATAGCAAGCTAAAAAATATTCCCATTTTGCCCTAACCAGTTTGGCTCAGTGGATAGAGCATCGGCCTGCAGACTGTAGGGCCCCAGGTTCGATTCCAGTCAAGGGCATGTACCTTGGTTGCAGGCACATCCCCAGTAGGGGGTGTGAAGGAGGCAGCTGATCGATGTTTCTAACTCTCTATCCCTCTCCCTTCCTCTGTAAAAAATCAATAAAATATATTTAAAATATATATATATTCCCATTTTGTGGTTTACTGTTAACATTGTAGGAGAAAAACAAATGAAAAAGGGAAAGGGAGTTACAGGAAGAGTGGGAAAGAAAAGGAAATAAAAATGTCTCTAATTTTAAAAATGCTAACCAGTACTTTCATTAACATCCTCCATCTCACAGGTCTAGCTAACACATTAATTCCTTCTTGCTTGTCAAAAATAGATACTGAAAGTCACTTTAAAGGCAGGCTATTTTACTGGAGTATAAAAGCACTTACTCTGAAAAGCAAAATTCATTAAGTGCATCTAAAGAAAAACAAATGTGAAAGAAACAGAAAAAGTAAAAAGCATAAACATGGGAAAAGGAAATCAAACCACATAAAATATAAAAAGTAATTTTTATATTTGAGGTTAAGATGGGGGACACTTGTCAATATGGCTGACTTACCTTAAAAATAGGAGATCTTTTTTCTGCTGTCACTTCCATTGGAGTAACATCTTCACTCTTAATCATACTGCTTGATATGAGTGGAGTGATCAGAGCATTAGGAAGAATATTTACCTTATCTAAATTACATCCAGTAGTCTTTATAGCTGCACACACAGACACACACACAAAAAGAAAGAAAGAAAAGCTTAAAATCACTAAAGCCATCAACTATTTCATTCTATAGTGTGATGATTATTAGCCATGATTTAAAAGTCCATTTTTTTAATGTTATGTAGCATGATACAAAACTGGCATATCAAAATGTATCCTCCCTTTTTTGAAGTAGCTTTGGCTTGAGGAAGGAAGAGTGATAGAGGAATAGAAATATTGATGAGAAACATCCATCAGCTGCCTCCTGCATGCCCACTACTGGGAACATAGCCTGCAACCCAGGCACGTGCCCTGATCAAGAATCGAACCAGTTACCTCTTAATTCAGGGTGGATGATCAACCACTGAACCACACCGGCCAGGCCTAAAGTCAAAACTTTTTAAAGGCCACAGAATTGTCTGGAAATTTCTCTCCTCAACAAAACTCAAGCTTCTTATGAGAAGCTTGGCCACCAAGTAACCAAATAAATTTTGCGTTTCTAAATTTAATGTCTTAGAAAACTTGAATTTGACAAGTTGACACATGAACACATTTCTCTTTTAGATAGGACTTAAAATTTTTTCTTTTTAGAAATTTAAGGACTATTTTAGTTTACCAATTAAATTTCCAAAACAAAACCAGCAAGTATTTTTCACTTCTTTTTATTCCCATTTTCAATAGAGATTTACACTGAGAAGCAATATATAGCAGATGAGGTACATTTTATCACTTCATTATATCTACTTTTCCCCCTTGATCCATCCTTCCTTCCTTCCTTCCTTCCTTCCTTCCTTCCTTTCCTTCCCTTCCCTTCCCTTCCTTCCCTTCCCTTCCCTTTCCTTCTCCCTTCCTTTCCCTTTCCCTTTTCCTTTCCTTTCCTTTCCTTTTTTTGTCTACATGAGTCAGCCATTGGTGGACTTAGTGACGCCTACTGACATCACTAATGACAGTCTTCTAAATTGAACACATACCCAAATTCTGATCTAAAAGATTACCACTACTCTGAAACCCTGTGGAGAGAAATATAGATTCCCCAGAATGCATAGCTGTTAAAATTTGATATTAAGAAGAAATCTTGGCTACAAAGAAGAATTTTAAATGATATATGAGTAAGATTGCTACCTTTGTAAATATTCTGATTTAGAAATATTTGAAACTTTCTGATCTTACTTCAACTTGTCTCATAGCCAATGGCTAGAAATAATTCCTGTGGAAACTGATTATACTGAGGAAGGGGAAAGTGCTCTTAAATTTAACTTTGGATATTCTACGCTTTATTATTCTGAGGAATGTATCATTTATTCTTGCGTTCCCTGGACCTATTTTCACCTAGATTCTACCAATACTTCTACAATTAAACTCAAAATCTAATTTTTACTGAGAGAAAATGTCAGGCATTTAATAGTATTTGTGGCCCATCTCATAGGACAATTTGAAAGACTATTAGTGTTGTCTTGAATAACATTCAACTGCTATTCTTCCTTTTGAATTCTATTACAATGTGAGCTCCATGAAGGCAGAGATTTTGTTCTTGTTGCCTGATGTATAGTAAGCAATCAATGAATATTTGTTGAATGAATGAAGAAATGGATGAATTAATCTTTCTTTACCTTTATCATAGTCAATTTAGTTCATTGTTTGGTTAATTTTACAATGCAGTGTGTTGCATATTGTCATTAAGAGTATTTTTGGTCTAAAAATTTCCAATATCTAAAGACAAGTTTATATTATAGTTCAATTAGAAACTGCTTATAAATATCCATTGACAAATAAATGCATCCACCTACAGTTACTGCTTAACAGATCTATACATAATTTTCCCCAAAATTTATTTAGAGAAAAATCCTTATCATTTTAGTTTTATTTCCCTTCTGGAAAGTGAGAATAGGTGGAATAGGTTGAGCAAGAGTCTTTTACTTCTCCAAAGGAGACCACTGACAAGCAGGTATGTCTACTGGTGTAGATAAATAAGAAGAGGACACTTTTTAAAATGCCCACACAAAAGATACAAGTCTTTCTATGACCATTGACAATTTCGTTTTCTGAGTCCTATTCTGGTCAGTATTCTGTTCTAGCTCTGCATGAATTCCAGCTGGAATCCTGTTGGTGCTGCCTGCAAGCGTGGAAAGTGCTTCTCTGGGCTGTCTGGTGTTACTAGGTGGGGAAGAGGGATGCTTAACCTGCAAGAGGAAAAGCATTTCTTCTGGTATATGTTCTAGCCTCCTGGTACTAATGGGCTTTCTGTTCTATCTCTGCTGGTGCTGGGGAAGCACGTAGGTAGGTTGCCTTCTGCCACTGGGTAGAAGGTCAAGACTGCAGGGTCTGGGTAGCTCATGTCACTAGGACGAGGTTTGGGTCTGTTCACCTTCTGCCACCGAATAGAGCCTTCTGTCACTGGGTGGAGGGTTGGGATACACTTGGCCTGGATCTTTCTCTGCTCTTGGGCGGAGGGCTAGGAGCTGCTAGGTCTGGGTCTCTGTCTGCTGTCAGGGGAAGAACAGGGGAGACACAGGGCCTGCTGGCACCACCAATGCGGGTAGAGGGGCATGTGCTGCTGCCTGGTGGTGGTGGGGTTGCCCCCCTGGTTCTGCCATTGCCATCACTGCAGTTAGACTGACCTCCTGGCAGACTAGGCCCACTGTTAATTGATAGGTATGCAGCATGAGGTGGGTTGACCCCCCCCAAGTTCTGTATTGCTACTGCAGGTATAGGTGGAGGGGGTGGGTCAGTTGCTGTCACTAAATAGGAGTCATCCCAACAAAAGTCTTTGCTGGGCTTTCCCTTTCCTGGTCTTCTGGCCAAAGAGAGCAGGCTTTTCATGCTTATTTACTGACTTATTTTTTGCCTATGCCAATTGCCAGTTCTGAGTAGCTGACCTCTCTAGTGCCCAATCCAGATAAATGGGAGATAAAAAGAGAACCCAGGACTTGATGTCATTCTTCAAAATGTGAGGTCCCTAGCCAGTCTTTCTTCTCTCTATATTTTAAAGTCCTTTTATGATTGTTCAATTATTTCTAAGGTATTTAGTAGATTTAGGAGGGAGGAAAAGGGAAAAGTAAGTACATATTTTCTTGTCCCAGAACCCACAACTGTATCTTAATGGACCTGTAAATAATATTAAATGGCTTGAGAGATGTCACGCTCTTTTCTTCCTTCTTTTTCACTAGGTATTTACTGAGCCCTTTACCAAGTTCTAGGTGCTGTTCAAGGTTTGGGGGTCAGTGATGATGAATAAGATGGACAAAGCCCTACTAGTGAAAAATTACATGTTAGTGAGAGAGAGAAAAAATACAAACATGTAAAATACAAACGACCTAGGGGTTGGGGGAAAACTTTTAAGCCAATTCAAAAAATGCAGAAGGTAAATAAGATAGACATATTTATCCATCCCAATAGCAATTTGAATTTATAAGGAATATTGGTATTGACACATTATGCCAAACAACTTTTAAAGTGCTGTCTTCTATTGATGTCAAATAATAACAACTTTTGAAACTTAGAACAATCCTTAGTAAAAGTTTGTTATCAGCAAGCAGCATAAAATGATAAGGTCAAGTACAAATATGTATGGTTAAAATAAAGATTTAAGGGGAGTGCCCTAGCCAGTTTGGCTCAGTAGATAGTGTGTCAGCCTGTGGACTGAAGGGTTCGATTCTGGTCAAGAGCATGAACCTCGGTTGCAGACTTGATCCCTAGCCCCGGTGCGGGCATGTGTGGGAGACAATCAATGGATGTGTCTCTCACACAGATGTTTCTCTGTCTCTCCCCCTCCCTTCCCCTTTCTCTAAAAATCAATGGAAAAATATACTCAGGTAAGGTTTAACAATAACAACAACAAGATTTATAGGGTAGGGAATAATAGAGTGAAAAAATATAGAATTTTGAGGGCAACCTAAGTTGTAATCTCTGTCAGTTACTAGCTGTATGACCTTGAGTAAATCACAGCTTCTTTAGGCCTTGGTTTATCACCTGTAAAATGCGATTGAACTAGATTATCTCTATAGCTCCTCAAAGCTCCTGAACCTTTCCCTATCCAACCAGTAGAGAGAAGTATATGCTCTCAACTATTTTTCACACTAATCCAATTAACCACTCCTTACAAAGCTGAAACTGAGAGAATGTACATCAACACTTTATCCCTGGGTCTTAAACCTCCATCACTGAGTCTTTGAGCGATTTAGCTAACATTTACACTCACATCTATATAGATATAGAAAACTTTGTGGAAATATTCCCAAAAAACTGTTAATAATAGTTTACACGGTATACTTTATCTTATTTAATACGCATTACTTTGTGTTAAGGATATATACACAGTTGGATAAAACAAAAAATGAATCAAATGCTTTGGCACTAGTTGTTATCCTTACTCCCCACTCTTCCAGACTCTCTCCAAGGAATTAGAAACTTACTTCAGAGCAAAAGCTTTCAATATATGACCATAACATCATATTGGGCATCAAGTTTTAAATCTTATTGTAATTAATGGTTATTTATCAGACTGTTTCTTGGAGGATTAATGCCATAACACAAATTTAAAAGTCATTTATGTTGCTCAGTTTTCATCATTAAAGTATACTTAATTAAATCTCCGAAATGGTACCTTGGCATTATACTAAAGCTGTGATTTCATGGAATAAAAATAAGCCATTTGTCAAGGAAAATTATTGGTTCTAAAAGCTATTGTCTTTTAAAATGATCAGTACTTCCTAATTAATGATACCATATTTACAAAAACAAATGAAAATTTTAAACAAAGTTAGCTGAGTATTCAATTTTATATCGTCATAAAATTATTTTTATCATGATTTAAGTTGATAAAATTGTCAAAATAAGGAGGTCTGAATTTTGAAAAAGAGTAATATGTGCATGTATGTTTGCATCCTTTTTTAGGCTTGTAAGATTTGGATCAATTGACTAAATAATTTTGTTACTAAAAATTAAGTGGAGCTTTCAAAACCTTTCAACCTTCAATTCATAATCTTGTACGATAAATTTCACATTGGATTAGGTTACTGTTCTATCTGCCTGATATTCCATAAAAGGAAGCATCAAGGAATTTTTGTAGAAGAGCACAAAGTTGGCAAAGTATAGATCACAAATGTTCAAGACTTTCTTTTTTTTAATATATTTTTATTGATTTCAAAGAAGAAGAGAGAGGGAGAGAGATAGAAACATCAATGATGAGAGAGAATCATTGATTGGCTGCCTCCTACATGCCCCCTACTGGTGATCCAGCCCACAATCCAGGCATGTGCCCCTTGACTGGAATTGAACCCAGGACCCTTCAGTCTGCAGGCCAATATTCTATCCACTGAGCCAAACCAGCTAGGGCAAGACTTTCTTTAGTGATTAATTAATTATGGTATTATTTATCTAATAACATGGTTTGAATTATTTTTGCTTTGAGGTGTTACCTTTATACTGAAGCTTAACCTATCTTTTTTAATCCTAGCTAAGCGACCTTGGGCAAATTATTTAACCTCCCTGAAACCTTGTTTTCCTCATCTATGGAATGAGAATAATAAATTACCTACCTCATAGAGTTTGGAAGATTAAATGAGATAATGCCAATAAAGAGTGTGGCATATTGCCCAGCACTTAATATATGTCCAATGTGCATTAGCTATGATTATATATAGCACAGATTTATAAATTTTCTTGTATTTGAATCAGATAATCTTGGCAGTTTACTCATCAGTGCAAAATTTCTCACTAATCTACTCTGGGAAAGTGTTTGTGATCAGAAATTATAATGGCAAGCTATACTCAACACATTATATACATGAAAGCTAAATTTTACTACTGACAATAGAAAAAAAAGCTACCGTATTTGATAAAATTTATTAAGCATATTATTCCCTTTTAAATGTAAATATTTTTTTAAAATATATTTTATTGATTTTTTACAGAGAGGAAGGGAGAGGGATAGAGAGATGGAAACATCTATGAGAGAGAAACATCGATCAGCTGCCTCCTGCACAGCCCCTACTGGGGATGTGCCTGCAACCAAGGTACATGCCCTTGACTGAAATTGAACCTGGGACCCTTTAGTCTGCAGGCCAATGCTTTATCCACTGAGCCAAACCAGTCAGGGCTAAATATTTTTAATTTTATAATTTAATTTTATTTAACTCATGAATTTCATGGCAGAAAGATATAAATAAAAGCTAGGATTATAGGAACAAAGCAATGGCCATTATGTAATTGACATCTTCATTTATTTATTTTTTTAAAAAAATATATTTTATTGATTTTTTACAGAGAGGAAGGGAGAGAGATAGAGAGTTAGAAACATCGATCAGCTGCCTCCTGCACATCTCCTACTGGGGATGTGCCTGCAACCAAGGTACATGCCCTTGACCAGAATCGAACCTGGGACCTTTCAGTCTGCAGGCTGACGCTCTATCCACTGAGCCAAACCGGTTTCGGCGACATCTTCATTTATAATGGCACAAAAGTATCACTAAGTATCATAGTTGTATTAGAAATCTGAAAAAAGAATCTATCACATAACATCCTGAAGATATATCTTTGTTATCTCTTGGGACTGGCAAAGGAATAAATAAAAATATCAGAAGAAAGAGCCTAAAGCAACTTTTTCAAATGTTGATAGTTCATATTTTGGTCTCGTCAGTCTCAATGTCAAGTACTAATCTTATTAGTAGAAATTTTTTTACATACATTATTGTACTTTACATAGACTTTTAAGATTTTTAATATTGGGGAATGGAAAACAAAGAAAAAAACAAAAAACTCCACTCTAATATGTTAAAAAAAAAGTTTACATGGTGAATGAAGGAAAATATCAAGTTGGGAAACAAATCTCTGCATTCAGTAAAAAACAAATATTTATTTTACAGTATAGATGAGACCCTGCTAAGTGTTCCAAGTACATAAGAGAAAACAAAATAGTAAAGTTTGTTAGGGAAAATATATGAGAATCAACTTAGTACCTTTCATGGCCTCTTCAAAAGAGCAAGGTCTTGCTGGACTAGATATTTCCTTCTTCACATTTACATTCAAAGCACCAGCTGCTGCTATTAAGAAAAAAAAAAGATGAATGCTCTAACCCCAACTGAGCTACCCAGCCAGGGCAGATGTTCTAAATTTTTAAGATTTCAATTGCTCTTACTGCTCTGGTTTCTAAAGCATCTATTTTGCCTAAATGCTTAAAATTATGTTTAAAATATTTATTCACCAGCAGTCTTTGATATTTTTTATTATACAGATTAGAAAATGTTATAGGCATATAACTCTATTTGTGATTCTTATCACTTATCATGACAAGCATATCTCTTCTCTCTCCCAAAAGGCAATCTGTAAGCCAGCTAGACTAAATTATTAGCAGTTTCCCAAAGTTGTCACTTTCATTTTTCTGCACACTAGAGAAACTGAATGAATGTTAATTCTTACTAAAGAGTAAGCTGTATGATAACTCTTCAGAGCATTCCTAGCTTTTCTTTTCTTTCTTTTTCAAAAGCCATGCTCTTTTTAAAAAAAAAAAATTTTTTTTTTATTTCAGAGAGAAAGGAAGAGGGAGAGAGAGATAGAAACATCAATGATGAGAGAGAATCATTGATTGATTGTCTCCTACACACTTTCTACTGGGGATCCAGCCCCACAAATAGGGTATGTGCCCTAACCCGGAATCCAACCGTGACTCCTGGTTCATAGGTGGACACTCAACCACTGAGCCACACCGGCCAGGCTACCACTTTTTCATTTTGGTTGGCTGGTCTTCATATTCTTCCAAAGTACCAGAAATTAATCATTCATTTTAGTTCAGACATTTTTATTTTGACATACCTGGGTCTGGAGTGTAAGTGAATGGTTGAACATCATGAGATCTTCCAGCATTGGTCACTACATATATTCCCACTGATACTGGCAAAGTTATATGTTGGTCATGATATGGGGGAACCTTTACAATAAGATGATTCTAATTGAAAGAAAATTATAAGAGTCAGAAAAGAAGCAATATTTAAATAAAAAATTTGAAATGAAAATTATAATTAAGTATATTTCCTATAAGCTATAAAGGTCAAAAGTCTGACTAGAAAAATTATTTTAAAGCTCAGGTTCATAGACATCAGGATATTAATCTTTTTAAAAAAATGTATTTTATTGATTTTTTTTTTTTTTGACAGAGAGGAAGGGAGAGGGATAGAGAGTTAGAAATATCGATGAGAGAGAAACATCAATTAGCTGTCTCCTGCACACTCCCTACTGGGTATGTGTCCGCAACCAAGGTACATGCCCTTGACTGGAATCCAACCTGGGACCCTTCAATCCACAGGCCGATGCTCTATCCACTGAGCCAACCCCGTTAGGGCGAGGATATTAATCTTAAAACTATTTTTAAGATAAAATCCAAATGTTTTATAATGACTAACAAGGTTCTTGCCCTGACAACTTTCTCTTATCCCCATTTTCCCCAGATCATTTGTACTTTAGGCCAGTGGTCGGCAAACCGCGGCTCGGAGGCCACATGCGGCTCTTTGGCCCCTTGAGGGTGGCTCTTCCACAAAATACCACGGGTGGGCGCGCACGAACTGCTGTTCTCTCCCACTAGAATATTCTTCCTTCACCTCTTAAAATGGCTAGTTTCTTACCCATTTTTAGGTATTATTCAAATGTTGTATTTTGTGGAAGAGCCACACTCAAGGGGCCAAAGAGCCGCATGTGCCTTGCGAGCCGCAGTTTGCCGACCACTGCTCTAGGCATACTGACCTCAGTCCATTCTTTTAACACACTAAATCCACTTTTAGCTCAGAGCCTTTACAACCTGCTGTTCTCTCCCACTAGAATATTCTTCCTTCACCTCTTAAAATGGCTAGTTTCTTACCCATTTTTAGGTATTATTCAAATGTTATCTCCTCAGAGAAGCCATCTCTGACCATCCTTTTAAAAGTGGCACCCCTCTCAGTCCTGATCACATAATCTTGTTTCTTTCTAAATTAGCATTTATCACTACCTGAAATTACTGTGATTATGTGCTTTTTTTCTTTTCTCCCTCCACCCTCAAGAAGGTCCATGAGAACATAGGATGTTTTGGTCTTAATTCTATTTATCCTGTTAAGCACCTTATACAAAAAACATACAAATATATTTGTTGAATAAAAGAATGAGTACATTTTGAGAAAAAACTATGCCCACCAAGCACAGTATCAGTTACCATATGTTCTGTACAACCTTAATTGAGGTGTACTTTACAAAGCGGTTCACTGCTTCCTAATCACTTAGCCAAATAGGCTTCAGTTTACCCAAATTAAGTCAAATTTACCCTCATTTAACCAAGTAGGGTTCAGTCTACCCTAACCCTGGAAATCAAAGTTATTTTTTTGTCAGAATAGTGGCAGAAACATCCTTATAAGAAAAGGAAAGTTCATAAATGCTTCACCAGCAGTTACTCAAGGTTGCCACATCTTCTTGGAAGATACTGTGAACAATATTGGACGTATTCTCTTCTTCGTTGGTACAATATAGTAATGGGAAGGAACATCAAGGGATGGTGATTATGCTTTTGTACAGAGGACAAGATATGCAGGAGGCAAATGATGACAGCTGACGGTGAAGTGAATTTGATGACATTTTTTACTTAGACTATAGTTGGTTGACTCAGTTGAAAAGAACATGTGACAAGGCCAAGGTTAAGGCTTCGATTTCAGAACATTTAATTTGTGTCTAAGATTTTTCTTAAAACACAAAAGAATTACAAACTTTTTCGTCTTAATATTTTTTGATAAATTGGATATAAAGTTTCAATTTTTTGCCTCTTCTAGCTCTCTGCTAGCTTTCATGTGCTCTTTTCTATTTTTATCAGCATTTGATGCTATATTTTAGGCTTTGAGTATTTTACACATTAGTATGTTCCTGCTTCTCTGTTCTCTATGATCCATACCTAAACATACTACCATTTTTCTAGTCTTCTATCTGATTTGCATATAAATTTGTTCTCTTCTGTTGTCTCAATACCTGAGTTTGCTCCTATTTGCTCTACATACTAATTAAGTTATTTCTCTCTCCTTGTTTTCAAGCTCATTTTTCTTATTATCTAAAAATACATAGTGAGTGCCTACAAATACACACTCTTTAATACAGGTGTAACAAATTGTTCTTCTGAATGCAAAAAGGTAACTAACAAACATAAAAACACTTGGAACATAGATACTCAATAAAAAAATTTTCTTTGATTTAACTAATAGTAGGTTAAGATAATCCAAATCCCCAGAACAAATAAATATTAAGAAAGAAATGTTTCATTTATTAGCAATGCAATTTGCTAATGCTTTTAAACTTTTTTAAAATAGAGAATTGTCACTTCTAGCATCAGTGGCATAGTTGTATTTCAGTTAAAGAAACTCAAGAAACTTTAAATGATTTCTATCAATCCCATATAAAGAAAAAAATTAATCTCTTGATTCAGGAAATTTTGGAACAAAATCGAATTTCTCAGAGAGTAAACAATCAAACTATAAAAAGTCTTAAATTAGTCCAGGGGGCGTGGCTCAGTGGTTGAGCAACGACCTCTGAACCAAGATTCCTGGCTGCAGGCTCCCCGGAGGTGCGGGGCGGGGGGCAGAATATGTAGGAGGCAGCCAATGGATGATTCTCTCTCATTGTTAAAGCTTCTATCTCTCTCTCCCCTCCATCCTCTCTGAAATCAATAAAAAAAAAAATTTTAAGTCTTAAAATTATACCTGATGAAATAATTCCATGTCGATTTCAGCTTCTGACTTCCAAGAGTTTTCATCTGATTGAAACAAAAACAGTGATTTACTAAAATTTTGATTTTTTTTTTTGTTTTTACTTTGTAGCTATGACTATAGCTTTATAACAAAGTGAAACATGCAACAATCTCTATATCAGTAGTATTATGTCTACTTACCAGAAACATTTTCTTGGAAAATCACTTTAGTTCCTTTCAGAAAGTTCTTGCCAATTAAAAATACTTCTTCCTCTCCTTTCACTGAACAGCTATGCAAACTTTTCTTTAAGATTTCTGGCACTCCTGCTGGCTGAGCTGTGGGTATACATAAGCATTCCATAAAAAGAACCACCAACACATTTCTTATCTAAAATCAACCCTCAATTTTCTAGTTCTAGAAGTTGTCTTTGTTAACCTCTAAATTGACTTCCTTTATTTTAAACTTTACTTTTACCCTAACAGAGAAAAAAAAAAACACCAAAAAGAAAAACAGAAAAGTCCATATTAATTTTTAATGACTCTTGCAAGATTGTATAAGAATGGGTTAATGTCTAAGACAGTGGTTCCCAACCTTTTTTGGCCATGCCCCACCTAAGCATCTTTAAAATCCTGATGCCCCCCCCTCCTTGTGACATATAATTCCTATTATTCAAAAAGTGAACTCCTATTCACATGGAGGAAGCCTAAAAGGTCATTAATTTCGTCTAAACAAGCTTCCAAAGAACATGGCATTCATGAAAGAGAAAAACAAAAGAACGAAAGGACAGTTGAAGTACTGAGGAAGAAACACTAAGAAATTGTTTAAAAAAATAATAATAATATGAAGTGATATGAAAAATAGCAAATAAAGTTTCAAAATATAATAGAGAAGTGAAATGCATAAATATGTCAAAATATATATTTATATACTGTATTTTAGGCCTCTAGAACCATAACAAATGCAAAAATTCACTGTTAAAAACTCATTCTCAAATTGCCCCCCTTAAAAATCAAATTGCCCCCCTGTGGGGCATGTGCCCCAGCTGGGAACCACTGGTCTAAGATGAGGTTTTAATTTGTCATCTTTGTTTTCTTATTACAGGAATAAAAAAGTTTTAAAACATGAACTTGGGTATGTTTTTGTCTTAATATTTTTTAAAAAACTTCAACCTAAAAATATGCTTATCCCACAATTCTAATCTTAAAAATGTCAGCTATGTTATGCCATTATAAGACTTCTGAGGTAACGAGTGTCTCTGGGAGGTACTGGGGCTCCTTTAAGGATCCAGATCCAGGAGTCAGAGAATACATACCAACAGAGTACCTGAACACAGACTGCATCCAATTCAGAATAATTCTACATGGAATTTCCCTGAACTGGGTGGGATACCCTGAGATTAAAAAAGAAAATGCACTTGATTTCTATTACGAAAACTAACAAACCACTACTAAAATTAACAAAGAGGTTGACAAGCACTGAAGAGCTAGATCTAATGAATAAATTATAATCAGCTTACCAACTTCCTCCTGCCAGGATTTCCTTAAGAAAATTTATTAGGTATTGCTTAGCAAATAGGTTCCGAAGTCAAATAAATCAGGGAAATAAATACTGGGCTAAGCAAAACTAAATGAACAAAAGGATTTCTTCAAGAATTTCATATTCTGATGTACACTAAATATCCAAGAAGCGGGATATAGTATAACTCCAGAAACATTCCTCCTTATTGACACCTAAGGACTAGTTTTCTACCAGAATACTTTTTCGGATACCGGTGTATGTAAGTAAATACCTGTTAAGTGCTCAAAATCTGTTCTCCATAAAATTAAGCACTTTGACATAGATACACTATTTTCTAAAAATTTAGTTTATTGGGGTTACATTGGTTAATGAAATTACATTATTTGCTGTTTTAGTAAACCCTTACAACATTTATACTGCCAAGGTAAGCTTATATATGCCTTGTATAAGTCATCAACTTCTAAATTAATGAGATATTCCACTATACTTTAGGAAAAGTTTAAGTTTCTTCTCCTTAGATACTTTTATTTAACTAGAGGCTCGATGCACAAAATTTGTGCAAAGGGCTTGGCCCCTGCCGCAGTGCCCCCTTGGCCCTCGCAGCCCCCAGCTTTGTCTGGAAGGATGTCTGGTTTAATTAGCATATTACGCTTTTATTATTATAGACTAGAGGCCTGGTGCACGAAATTCATGCGCGAGGTGTGTGTGTGTGTTTCTCAGCCTGGCCTGCACCCTCTCGCAATCCAGGACTGCTGGCTCCTAACCGCTTGCCTGCTTGCCTGATCACTCCTAACCACTCACCTGCCTGCCTAACCATCCCTAACCGCTTCTGCCTTGGCCCCTGCTGCCATGGCTTCGTCTGGAAGGACATCTGGAAGGTCATTTGGCTGTCCAGTCTAATTAGCATATTATGCTTTTATTATTGTAGATAGTTCATTTTATCTTTACAAGAATGTAATGTGGGAAACTGTTATGAAAACATTCACTGCTCCTCTTTTCCTAGTGGAAAGGCTGTAATTCTCACTTCACTCACATCAGAATTAGCCACATAACTGTGTGAATAATGAAATGTGAATTGAAGTAATATGCCAGTTCCAAGCAAAAGTTTAAAGAGCCTCACATGGTTGGACCATATCCTTTTTCCTCCACTATAAAATGGCAATATCCCAGATAAGGGCAGTTTCTTCAGCCTGGATCCCAGAGTGGAAGTGATTCCATAACACAGCCAATAACATAAAGTGAGGGAGGAGTAAAACTTTGTTGTTTTAAGGCACTGAGGGTTTTAAAAAAAATATTTTTTATTGATTTCAGAGAGGAAGGGAGAGGGAGGTAGAAACATCAATGATGAAAGAGAATCACCTATCAGCTGCCTCCTGCACACCCCGCACTGGGAACCGAGCCCGAAACCTGGGCATGTGCTCTTGGCTGGAATCAAACTCAGGAATCTTCAGTCCTCAGGCCGATGCTCAATCCACTGAGCCAAACCAGCCAGGGCAAGGCATTGAGTTTTTTGTTTTGTTTTTTGGTTGCTTATTACTGCATTATCATTTAGCTTTTTAGTTTTTTCTTAGATTGTATCACTCACTGATACTAACAAGTAAGTATCCTATCCTTATTAAATATCCTATCCTTATTAAGTATTTAAATGGCAAATAACATCTTCAGCAAAGTCTGAGAGTTTAAAGAAATTGTGAATACACATACAGTGGGGCCTTGACTTACGAGTTTAATTCGTTCCGTGACGGAGCTCGTAACTCAAATTACTTGTATGTCAGATCTTAAAGTGAACGAGTGAGACACATGATGCTGGGCTGATGTTGTGGCGTTCACTGTGACGTTCGCTGCGCCAACTAGTGGTGGGGTATCTGAAGCTGGCTCATAACCCGAATTTTAGCTCGCAACTCAAAGCAAAAAATCGGCCGAGACGGCTTGTATCTCGAAAAACTCGTTAGTCGGGACGCTCATAAGTCAAGGCCCCACTGTATATACAAACACACTGTCTAGAACTATAGGGTTAATGTATAAACAGAATGGAAATAGCTATTGGTCAGAAGCTGGCAATTACATAACCTTTTTTAAAATATATTTTTTTATATTTTATATGCAGCTAGTGCTACATAACCTTTTTAAATGAAAAATTTACTGAACTAATTTACAACTTTGTAGAGTAACTGCAACTAAATATTTGTTTTTTAAGGGACATTAAAAATATGGTAAATATTATTTTTACTAGAAAACAATAAGAGGTGCAAAATTATATAAATATATTGTATTAACAAAATGAATGGAAAGTCTATAACTTTCCCCCCCATTTTCAAATACTATGTGGAAATTCCACTTCACTCATGATTATCAAATTTTTTTCCTAATTTTTTCCTTTCATGTATTAAAGGTCTAAGATAGCAGAACAGGTCCCTGTGAAGGTACAATGTATATTTATCTCCTATATATTTATGTTTACATTACACAAGAACTAGTCTGTTGCTGTTCAAGATAATTTAACTTTAAATTTTGACTTTAAAAAGTCTTTTCTATTAAAAAAAGTTTAATGGTAACCTAACAGGATAGACTTCATACTAAACAGAACTAAAGTCAGGATTATTTAAGCATTAACTGTTTTAGTTTTATCTTTAATTAATTAGTAAGCTGACTCTTGAAAGTGTTTAAAAAATAATAACACAAAAAAGTAGCCACCTTTCTGGTATTATAAAAACAGTGTGTTTAGCCGAAACCGGTTTGGCTCAGTGGATAGAGCGTCGGCCTGCGGACTGAAGGGTCCCGGGTTCGATTCCGGTCAAGGGCATGTACCTGGGTTGCGGGCACATCCCCAGTGGGACATGTGCAGGAGGCAGCTGGTCGATGTTTCTCTCTCATCGATGTTTCTAACTCTCTATCTCTCTCCCTTCCTCTCTGTAAAAAATCAATAAAATATATTTAAAAAAAAATTAAAAAAAAAAAACAACAAAAAAAACAGTGTGTTTATAGATGCTTTCAAATTGTGGTCTCAAAAAACAAAGCTGAAAAAAGTAATATTTGAATACTGGAAAACAAAAAAGCAAATATTTCAACCTGTCAAAAGAATTAGTAAAGCTTTTTAATAATCATGTCTGTGAAGAGAAGAAAAGTTTACTCAATGTATTTTTAAGTTGTAAGACAGACAAGGGAGATAGAAACTTATTAAATTCAGTCAGATTTACTATAATAAACATAAAATCTAATGTACATTATTAAAGAAAGTTATGATTAATTTTGCTGTATTAACCAAATTACTACAGTCTTTGGGCAAGGGAAAAATGAAACAAACTAAATGGGACTACATCAAACTAAAAAGTTTTTGCATTGCTGGTGTGGCTCAGTTGGTTGAGCATCATTTCATGCACCTGGTGTACATGCCTGGGTTGTAGGCTCAGTCACCACTAGGGGCCGTGCAGGAGGCAGCCTATCAATGTTTCTCTTTCTCCTCTCCCTTCCTCTCTCTAAAATCAATAAAAAATATTTTTTAAAAGTTTTGCATAGCAAAGGAAATCATCAACAAAATGAAAAGACAACCTACTGAACAGAAGAAGATATTTGCCAATGACATGTCTGATAAGGGGTTAATATCCAAAGTTTATAAAGAATTCATACAACAACAACAAAAAAACACAATCCAATTTAAAAAAAGTAGGCAGAGGACCTGAACAGACACTTCTCCAAAGAGGATATACAGATGACCAATACACATATGAAAAGATGTTCAATATCACTAATCATCAGAGAAATGCAAATTAAAACCACAATGACATATCACCTCACACCTGTCAGAATGCCTATCATT